TGTAAGGGTAGGGGGTATGAAATAGCTGGATACTAAACTGAGAGGAAAACAACTGAGAGGAGAGCCTGTTGAATACACAAAGGTGAGTGATTTTAGCTTTAGGGGAACAAGAGAATGAGAGAATTTGGCTGGCCAGAGCTTTACAATGAGAGGATTTAGCTAGTCAGAACATGTACATGAGGTATTTTGGCTGGTTGAGCAACCTACATGATGTCATAAGAGTTGTCCTAGCTGGTCTAGAAGGTCTACATGAGGGTTTTATTCTGGTGAAGCATTTTACATGAGGTGATGTACTAGTCTTCAAGCTAAGATGAGGTGTTGAATATTACATGAGTGGTGTGAGATAGTCTGACAGCTGCAAGGAAGATTAACAAGTGACATGGCAACAGGACCAGCCTACAAGCCACATATGTCAAGTGTCAGAAGATAGTGATTTGTGTGTATACCTGCACAAAAAATGGTGTGAGAGTGTAGTTGTCCTGCAATGTGCATGTGTATAGTGTGAATTATGTAATTTGTTGAGGTTGTTAAGTGTTGAAGTGTTGCGATGGTGGTGAGTTGTGCAATTGAGTGGTGTGATGGTTCAGAGGGTGTAGCTTCCAATCCAGTTGAGTTTGAGTGACACCTCCAGAGGTGACCAAGGGTGAAATTGTCCATAGAATCCAGCTCTTGAGTCATATTGGGTGATTTGTGAGCATATATATGAGAAAAAAAAGGTTAAAAACTGTGTAATTTGAAATAAAAGAAATAAAAACTATAAAATTTTTAAATGGGCCAGATGGCTACCCTTTAGGTATACCACACTGCCTTACACATGACCTGATAATGTATCATAAATGTCCTGTTCACCTAAGAATTTTCATCAACATCAACCGACTTGAGGAGAAATAAGAAACAGATTACATGCATGAAGCTGATGTATTATAAAGATGAGAGAAAAGAATACAAGTATTTGATATGGAAGCCCAGGTACAACAGGATTGTGCCAGGACCTAAACATTCATTTCTTAGATTCAAAAGCAACATATTGTACTTTGAAGAATTTTGATGAAATTTCTAAAGAAGTAAAACCAGACAATAATGATGGACAAAAAAGAGATAAAAAGTGAGGACTTGATAAGGAAGCAAACTAAAAAGAAGGCAATGATGAGGGGATTAGTGATTTCCTCATCAAACAACAAGAGAATTAAGAAACAGAAATGAGAAAGAAAAAAGAAGAGAAGAAGAGAGAAAACAAACAGCATGATGATTGGTGTGATGCAAGAATTAGAAAGGAAGCCTGGACTAGTTTTTGCAAGATCACTGAAATCAATCTTGAGGAAGTAAGAGTTTGGAATGAGTCAGAGCTGACGCAACAGTCAGGTTAGATAATCAGATGTTACTTAGTCGAGTCTTGAAGATGGATCGTAGTCTTGAGGTGAGTCTTGAGTATGATCTTAAATTTGAGTCAAGAGTCTTGTCAATTCTGGAGATTGAATACAGGGAGAATGGAGTTCTTTTAACAGAAGCCAATAGCTCAACCCTAACCGGTTGACTTAATTGCTGCGGATGAACAGAGGGGCATTGATAAACACACTCCTCCCCCCTCCCCACACGCCCACGCCCACGCCCCTCGGAATCCTGTTTTTGAGGGAAAACAGGATTCCGAGGGGCGGGCAGACAAACCCGCCCTTCCTAACAAGGGCCGGGAGGAGGACCAGTCTTGGTGGCCGGGAGGGATTCCTCTTGGCCATTGAGACTGTACAGTCTCAACAGCCGGGAGGAATCTTCGGTTCAATTAAGGCATGTCATTGCTCTCTTTCATCATTTCTTTCTTATTTATACGTGTTAATGTGCTGATGAAGTATCGTTCGATGATTGTCAGATGATATATGTTGGATATCAGTTGTTTCCTGGAGAGTTGGGTTCTCTAGGTGAGTTTTCGTTCGCTTGGTCAGGTTATTGATCAAGATAGGAGTGATAAATAGATTCTTGAGCATCCATTTATTAGGATTCTATGTTAAGGTATGTATCGTTTTTCTTACGATTGATCATGAGCGTTTTGACTGTTTGGTATTTAGACGCTCAGTTATGTTTGTTGACTGAGTCTTTGTCATAGGTTTATAGCTGTGAACTTATCCTCCATTGGACAATAGGCGGTCAGATCTTATCATTGTTTACTCGATTTAGGAGTCAGTCACATCTTGATCGTTTGATGTTGTCGATACGGTTGAGGTTTTTTATATTTCCTCATATAGATCGGTAGTTGGTGGTCTTAACGTTCCATTAAACGGTGTAAGTGCCCATTTCAACCAACAACTTCGTGTTCGTATCTTTCCAAAGTGGTTTATAGGTGATTTTCCAACTTCTGCAACGTTATTCAAGGTGTAGGTCGACTCCTTCTCTGATGTTTATTGTCAGCCTTAGAGATACTCCAGAGTATCCAAAAGACTGCTAAACAAATATTAAGTATTAAAATACTCCACATGTAATATAATATGTAGTAATATTATTTACTAAAACAATATTTCATAAGATTATAAAGGGGGTTGTCCACTGGAAGTATCCCCAAATTCCCACTCCTTCAAGGACTTTGTATATATTCAAACTCTTGAAGGACAAAAGGAATAAACTATATAAATTTATAGAATAAAATTAATGTATATTAAATTAGGGTTAAATATACATTTAGGGTAACCTTAGAAATTTTATTCTACAAGCATAATCAATTTATTAAAACTTGTAGAAAAAAAATTACCACACTATGTCAAGAGTGTGGCACTTTCTACTAGTAGTATTCTATTTTAAGTAGACACATGATGTAATTGGCTATAAATATGCATCATGATGTCATGGGACATAGAATATACATTATTTGAAATACCTTGAATTATTCCCATTACATCAGGGGAATAACTCTACCATAGTATACCAAAAGTGAGATTCTAGAATATTCTGAGGAGGGCCTCAAGGGGACATCTAGAATATTTAAGGAGGCATTCTCCTGCCTAGGATTGGTTCCTCAGCATATTCACCCCCAACAACCTAAGTGAGTACAGTGAATATTCTCCTCCTACTTTTAGTGTAGTCTTTTTTATCCAATCCAACCCTACCTTCTTACTGGGATTATTATTAAGCTAAGAGTTATCCCAGACTCAACACTTAACTAATTTCTTCAAACCTCTGACTGTAGCCTTTCAGCTCAGGTGCTTGCCAGCTACTTCTTGCAATATTAATTATTGCTTCCAAACACTCTACAATAACTTATTCTGTTATTGTCTCCTACAGTTCTCCTTTGATTATTCAAGTGTCTTTAACTGAGGAGTGTGGACTTTTCAACCTCTTAAGTGGGAAGTTTGGACCACTTAATACTTTGAGGGTGACTAGGAGTAATCTTGGTGTTTAAACTAGGCCTTCAGCACAGTGATAGTACTTGGCTCTTATATTATTGAGCCAAACCCCTCATACACATAGCTGACAAGTGGGGGCCTCATCTGCCTGATCCCTTGATCTTAGAGCCAGATTTCTAATAGAAAATTCCAGCAAATTTCAATACACCTGTAGAGAAATTTCTGTGGTTCAATCACCATTTTCCTTTTTCTCATCACACCATTGTCCTGAGAATTTTTATCAGGAAAATTTGTGCCAGAAAATTCCCTGTATTGAAGTTAAATTTTCTGGGAATTCTTGTCTTTGGCTCTGACAGGAATTATACACCAGGAAAGTTCTCATTATTGAAAAACCTTTCTAGAGGTTTTTCTACAGAAAGTCTATTCTCTTCCTTTCTACGCAAAGAGAATTTCTCAAGAAAGGAATTCAGCAACATAGACCATACCTGCAAGTAGCAAAGTCAATGACAGGATTCCAGAAACAACCGGCGAATTTGTAATTTCTCAGATTCAAATAGTATTGTCCTCATATTGAACAAAGAGTCCGAAGCCGTTGTTAGAGGACAGTCGACAACAGCATTATTCTCATATAGAACAAGACATTACATTATTGTTCCCATAAAGGAACTGTACAAGCTTTTGTTGTAGAGATAACCGCTGTAATAGCGAGAGAACTGTTATCGCTCGCCCATAACTCCTTCTTCTAGAACTTTCGGACAAGAACAGAATAAGAAAGCGACCTAAGCTAAAGCAGAAGCTAACTAGGATAGTTTATTGATTTGCTTGTAGAATAACAACAAGACACAAATCAGACATCAAAGAAAAAGCAGACATTTAGCGGTCTAACATTTCCATGTTCTCATATTGAATTGGGAAAAAGGCATCGTTAAGGAAAGACCTTATCAATCAGTCTCAATAGCAAAAGAACTATCTTGCAAGCGACATTGCTAAAAGAATTCTTGGAATTCATGGAATCAAACACGTGATCAAGAGAATTTCAAATTCCTCAAATTCAAACAATCTAACAGCATAGCATCGTTCTCATATAGAACGCACATCGACATTGTTAGAAGGAAACCAGTATATTTTTGTACCCATATCAAGCAAGAATAACTATTGTTGGAGCAGCAATACTGTTCTTACAAGTAAACTGGTATCAAGAACTCAGTAGAAAAGAAAATAATAAAGGACATAGCGAGAGAACCGATATCGATTAGCCATCGCATTCCTAATTCTATAAAATTCTGTGTAGAAGAACATAAAAGAGACCCTACTGGAGCCTTAAACTGACCAGCATTTCTCATCAAACCGTTCTTCATAGAATCACAGCGACAATACAAAAACAACGAAGCGAAAGCTTTATAAGATTTGAACTAACATCTGAGCAACCTCACAAGTAAGACTTACGGTTGAGAGGTTAAAGCCTAGATAGTTCAGTGTCTGAAGTCGTAGACCGAACTCAATCAGTTCCTCCAAACGCATTCAAGTCCGTTGCAAATAGCTGCCAACAGGAGCAAACCACCGGCAAGCCTCCCAAACCGAGTCTTTGAGAAACACTTCAACTTGGTAGCCGCTGCGAAAGAGTTACCAAAAAGTAATTTTTTCTTTTAAATTCTTTACTAACTAACCAAGATGGTACTATCTACCAGATCAGGACACGACCATAGTGCCAACCCTCCCCCAAACCAAAGAGGCCGAGGAAGAGGTCGAGGAAGAGCTCGCGGTAGTTATCAACAAAGCGCCAAAAGGTCAGCTTTATTGTCTCAACCTCAGAGCGATAACTCATTGCTGACATCTATTGAGTACAGCGTTCACAGGGGAGAAGGTACAACCAAAAGACCAACTGACCTTGATCAACATGCCAATGCAGGTCCCCAGGAATGCGAAGTCGACCGAAACCAACAGAGAGGTACCCTGGAAAGAGAAGAAGGGTTTGACAGCTTGGAAAAACAAACAACAAAAGAAAAGAAGAAGCTGGAGGAAGCTAACTCAGCTAACTCAAGCCATGCTGGACTTCAAAGAAGCAGCCAACCATTAGTTCCCCCTCAACCTATAGCTAGTACCTCCAGATTGCCTGAGATCCCTACACCTTCTGTTGTAACTAGTTCTAAAGTTTCAGAAATCTACAACTCTGAAATTGAAAATACAGAATTTTTTGATCAAATTCTTATTAAAAACATTATACATATTGATCAAAAGATCAATGAAATAAAACAAGTTTCTTACAACACTAAGTATGATGTGAGACAACTTGGAATATCAGTTGCTGAGTACAACAAAGAATTCCAAGTTAGCATTAATGAAGCTAAGAAAATACCTAGTATTGTACAAGCACTGAAAGAGTTGAAAACCATTATTCTGAACAAATTAATGGAGAATAATAACTCAACAATCAAAGAAAAAACAACTTCTGGTAAAGAAAAGGAAAAATCTGATAAAACAGATAACCAAGACCTTATTATTCTAGAAATACAGAAATTGAGGAATGAGTTATATTCTAAGCTCAATAAAAATGATGTTTCCATTACCAAAGACATCACTGAAAAACTGGAACAACTCCATTTGGATAGTGATACAACTTCTGAAGTACATATGGAAAATATGATGTCCATTTTGGAAAAAACAGAAAACATGGAGAAAAACATAAATAATAGACTGAGTACTCTAGAGGACAACATCAACACAAGAATAGATAATATGGAAATTAAGCTGACTTCAACATTGAATGAGAAACTAGATGAGATACTGAAAAAGATGGTCAACGCACCAATGTATACTCAAAATACCAGCAACTTCATTCAGAACTCTAATGGTAGTTCTCACAGTCAAGAAATAAAGAGACCCATTAACTCCCCATATTTTCAAAATAATGATCCCCAGAGTTCCAAGACCCCTGAGGAATGCCATGATAGACATACCCCTACCCATATGCTACATAGCCAACAGAACTCAGAAATCAGGGAAACCAATAAGGATGGGAGCAGAATTGAGATCCCTAGAATTAAAGACTGGCCAAAATTCACAGGTGAAGGAGAATATGACCATTTAGAGTTCATGAGGACCATAGATCTACTTAAAGAAGATTTTGAACTATCAGACCTTTCAGTTTCAGGAAGGCTGAGCAGCCTATTTAAAGGAGCTGCCAGAAGATGGTTCAATGACATTAGAACCAGCCATGGTAAACAACCTTGGAGTTGGTGGAAGGAACAAATCCTCACCAAATGGGGTAGCCCAGCTTGGAGGTATACTGTTGAAAATAAATTTGATGAGAGCATTTTTGACATAGAAAAAGACTCACCTATTAAATGGGTCCTAGCTCAGAAAGACAGACTACAAGCACTCTGGCCATTCATGTCACAAGAAGACATGCACCTCAGGATTCTGAAAAAATGTGGAGGGGATTTAGAGCATGCTGTCAAGAGTAGAGCACCCAAAAATGCCTCCACTGAAGATATTATCAATATCCTAGAGGACATAATAACTAGGACAAGGATTGGGAGGAAATATCAGCATAAAAAGATTAACACTGAGGAAGAATCACAATCCTATGCAAAAGTGGAATGTAGCATTACTGGAGATACATCAAAGGTGGATAATATACACAAAGATAAAAAATGTTACATCTGCCAGAAGATAGATCACACCTCTCACAAATGCCCACAGAAAGATTTCAAGACAATAAACCAGGTGGATATAAGAGAGAAACCCAAAAATGACCAAGAGCAAAGCTCTGACGACGAATTTGGTGATGGTTCTTCCATATCTAGTGCATCCAATTGAGATATAGGCATTAATAACTTGATACTAAGGACATTCCCAACAAGAGAATTTTTAACCACTCAAAGAATTAATTATTTTTTGTTCAAAAATAACTAATTCTTTTTTGGGAGAGGTAGGGAGTGTCAGCCTTAGAGATACTCCAGAGTATCCAAAAGACTGCTAAACAAATATTAAGTATTAAAATACTCCACATGTAATATAATATGTAGTAATATTATTTAATAAAACAATATTTCATAAGATTATAAAGGGGGTTGTCCACTGGAAGTATCCCCAAATTCCCACTCCTTCAAGGACTTTGTATATATTCAAACTCTTGAAGGACAAAAGGAATAAACTATATAAATTTATAGAATAAAATTAATGTATATTAAATTAGGGTTAAATATACATTTAGGGTAACCTTAGAAATTTTATTCTACAAGCATAATCAATTTATTAAAACTTGTAGAAAAGAAATTACCACACTATGTCAAGAGTGTGGCACTTTCTACTAGTAGTATTCTATTTTAAGTAGACACATGATGTAATTGGCTATAAATATGCATCATGATGTCATGGGACATAGAATATACATTATTTGAAATACCTTGAATTATTCCCATTACATCAGGGGAATAACTCTACCATGGTAGACCAAAGAGAGATTCTAGAATATTCTAAGGAGGGCCTCAAGGGGACCTCTAGAATATTTAAGGAGGCCTTCTCCTGCCTAGGATTGGTTCCTCAGCATATTCACCCCCAGTACACTTAGTGAGTACAGTGAATATTCTCCACCTACTTTTAGAGTAGTCTTTTTTATCCAATCCAACCCTACCTTCTTACTGGAATTATTATTAAGCTGAGAGTTATCCCAGACTCAAAACTTAACTAATTCCTTAAAAAGTAGTTGCTGCAAGAACACCACCTCTGACTGTAGCATTTCAGCTCAGGTGCTTGCCAGCTACTTCTTGCAATATTAATTATTGCTTCCAAACACTCTACAATAACATATTCTGTTATTGTCTCCTACAGTTCTCCTTTGATTATTCAAAGTGTCATTAACTGAGGAGTGTGGACTTTGAACCTCTTAAGTGGGAAGTTTGGACCACTTAATACTTTGAGGGTGACTAGGAGTAATCTTGGTGTTTAAACTAGGCCTTCAGCACAGTGATAGTACTTGGCTCTTATATTATTAAGCCAAAGTTTCATACACATAGCTGACATTTATGCATATCAGTAAGTTTATCATTTCTGAGCTCTTTGATTGTAGTGTTAAGTGCTCATTTTTGCTTGTTCTATTGCTTTCGTGAAGGAAGAAGACCTTATGGTTTACAGGTTGATCTCGATCATGAGGGTCTCTCTTAGTTTGTAGCTCTGTGTCTCGACATTTTGATGAGTCATAGCTTTGGTATATTTATAATTGATTCATTCATCTGTCATGCTATTTACATTGATATGGATCGTGATAGAGAGGAAAAACAGTAGGGTATCGAATTTCATGTTTGTAGTTGATTGTGTTTTTGAGAAAGGATTCTTTGAACGTAGATTGATTGGAGGCTGATTCAATACACTACAAGCAATACCAATTTTGCCCCAAAATTAAATGGCAATTTGGGTGGGGGAAAATGGATCAATTTTCTGGAAATTTTTTCCAAAATTCCTCAGGAGTAGAAATTAGGCTAAACTGAGCTATTTTAGCCCAGAGATAGAAATTCATCAAACATTCCAAAATGAATTTTTAGCTCATTTGGGACATTTTTATTTTTTGGCTAAAATAGCTCATTTTAGCCTAATTTTTTACTCCTGAGGCATCTTGTAAAAAAAGTGCCAGAAAATTGATCTATATTCCACCATCCAAATTGCCATTTTTCCTTGGGGCAAAATCGGTATTGTTTGTAGTGATAGGTGAGTATTGATATTGGTTTGCCCAATCACATGTTGTTACAAGATGGTAATCAGAAAAAGAAGAAGACATAACGGGCTCAGAAGAGGTAGGCTAATACAACGTTATCATTTGATGTATTTGTATAGAGGATATGATACGACTCCATTTTACAACAGTGGATAGGTAAAGTGTAGGACGTTTGCCTGTTTCTGGGTGTGTCGAGGGTGTCTATCAGGTATCCGTGGTTTATGAATTACCTCCTTGGTTGGCCAGCGCTTTGCCACCTATTGTATGAGCAGTAGGGTAGTTAGAGCTGTGGTACGTGGTTTCGTTATAAGGGACGATTACTCACGGGAGGTAGAAGCTACTGGACGACCATTGCCACGTTGTTTGGCGCTGTGGTGGACAACGGTAGGTACTTCAGAGATCACTTTGTTGGCTTTCTTTTTCTTTTTGGAGATTGGTTCAGGAAAATGGCTTATTTCCATAATATCATTATCCAATTCTTCTGGTATGGCAGGCGCACCCGAAAGATGGTCGGTGTAGAGGCAGTGGGCGACGTTGTGATCTTCACAGCCGCACATATGGCAGGCCGGTGTGGTATGTCCATACCTTTCCATGTATCCTCATTTTTCTTCATCATTTACATATATTCTTCCCAGTATTATTTCATATTCAGATTCTACACATTATTTCACCCCTAGTCACCTCTTACAGCTTTTCAGTATCTCTTATAGTTCTCTAGTTATCATCTCTCCAGTATATTCATAGTTACAGAACAGTACATTACTTCATACATACAGTACATATACATTACACATTATATAGTTACAGTCTCTATGTAGAATCACTCATTCATCATGGTACATCATCATTACTACATACTGCACTACATAATCATCATAACCATAACTACATACATCAATCAGGATAACCTTAACTACATTACATCATGTACATATTTCTTTTCACACTGCTTTGACTTTCCATACCTGATTAACACTTGTATACACAGAACATCTGTCTCTTAGCTACATTATTTCTCATCACTCATTACTGTTTAAGATTTACATTACCCATAGCCAGGATTTCCCCAGCCATGGTGCTTTACTGTTGTATGTACATGTTGTACACTTATATACTCCTTCTTCCTCCTCATGTATTTTCCCCCTTATGCTATGTACCTTGCCTGAATTATCTTCTAACCATAGTCTTAGAAATCAGAAATACTAGTATCACCCTTATATCCTCATCAGATATCATTGCCAGTTATATTTGCCAGTTATAAATCCTCAATTGCCAGTTATAAATCCTCATTTGCCAGATTATTCCCCTTGCCAGTGTCATTCCTCATTGCCAGTGTTACACCCTTGCCAGTACTATCCCATCACACCTCATTTCTCCTCCTCCTCACACCTCTGTAGGTACTACATACACAAGCTCATCAGTAATAGTAGCCTAAGATAAAGTAGAAATCAGCCACACCTCTATTCTTCTTTTTCTTAGTGTTACACTCTTCCCATTAGCATTGTACAGGAGGGCAGCCTCATCAGCACCTGTAGTCTCAACTTACATTAGTACTAGTGTAGTTGTCTAGATCCCCTCCAAGCTCTATCTCCCTGGTTGAGTAGTTCCACACCGGGAGGAGTTCGAGTTTTACCGGATGCCCACAGACTAAACCTGGTAAGTGATTGTTGTTGGGGTTCTTCCAGAGCCTCATCGGCACTTCCCCAGTAGGGATCGACGGGATGAAAAAGGTGAGGTCGCCGTTGTAAGTCAGGTTTCCATTAACTTTTTCTCCGTTATGTTTGATTCACATGCAGGTAATGTTGGTCCAACGAGGTTGGTTCCCGTATCCCTGGTCGATTTTCAAGGCGTACTTAGTGAGGGTGTTGTCACTATTGTCTTTGGGGTTGATTGGGCCACAGGCAGGTAAGTGGGTGTCAGACACTGAGACACTAGCCCAGGTGTCTACAATAGAATGTAACCCCCTTGGGTTACATAACAATTATTATTATGTGTAATCTTTAAGTTAATAATTATTAAGTAATGTTATCCCTTTTTACATGTATTTTTTATGTTAATAATTATTCTGTAAATTAATAAAGATTCACCTCTTTATTAATTTACCTCTTTCATGAAAATTATAATCAAGTTGAAAAGGATAATTATCTCCTGGGTGTATCCAAGAGATGATTATCCAATTTACCTCTCTTGTGTGTATGATTATTATGTTTATCTCTCTTATGGTATTTTCTGAAATAAAGGATATTCAGCACATGTACATTTATCATGCTCTGAATATCCTGACACTTTCCCCCAAGGAAAAGTGTAACAATAAGGGGACTGCACCGGTCCCAGCAGCAGATTTACCCCTGCTCTGTAATATTTAAGAGGATGTCTCTCCCCCTGAGATTCATCCCCAAGACAATATTACCATACCAACCCAACTACCTTACTAAAACATATACTTAGTGAGTGGGGTTTTTAGTAATATATTATCTACATAACCTGTTGTACTTTCCTCTTTATCTTATTACTAGTCTATATAAGTTACTTTATTAACTTATAAGACTAGTACAAACTTTATCCTTCTTACTCTCTTAAGCACCGGCACAGTGAAGCTCATTCCACTGTTGTCCCTTATTATTATAAGGAGCTAGCCCCTCCACTGTACTAGTGTTGAGGAGAGGCTTAATTCCACTGGCCCTTTTGGCTAAAGTGTGACCCAAAACCCATCAACTCTAGGTCACATAAGAGACCAGAGCTGACAGTGGGCCTTAAACTTGAGATAGCGCGCGGCAAAGTGGTTATCTTTGGCCTTGGAAATTGGCATGAGATGCCAGACGTAGGCTGACTTTCTGCCTTCAGTGCCGTAGAAGACTCCTTGCAAACGGTTATCGAAGCTCGGGAGCTGGAGCGCGTCAGTTGGGGAGAGATGAATAATATATTCATTCGGCCAGTCGACGTGGTCTTTGGCTTGTTGGAGGAGTTTCGGGGTGAGTCGAAGCTCTCTGAGAGCCGAGTGGAGCAATATATCGGGTTTATCAACAACCTATTTCCCCTCTCCTAGTGCTCGAATCATGATGATCATGACATTGAGTTCTTTCTGATTTTCGAGTTTGCTCCTGTCGTTGTGGCCGTACCCGTCCCACATGGCTCGGAATCGCATGTGGGGGGTGGAACATCGGAGTAACTGAGCTCTTATCTTTTCCCAAGAGTCGCTGAGGGTGTTTGGCATTGGGATGACTGGCTTGATATCAGTGTCTTCCGGGTCAAAAGGTAAGTTCTCCGGGTTTGTGTCTTGCATGTTGGAATCAGGATCTTTCCCTAACACCGACATGATTCTTTTGGCAGGTCGATTTTTGACTTCAGTTGGCTTCATGGGAGACCCCTCAATTTTGATGGGGGTTTTGTCGTAGGTTCCCTTTCTCTTAATAGGAGTGTTAGGGATGGAACCTGGAAGCTCGACTGTGTGGTATTAGATGCAGATGTATCCGAGTGAGTTTCTATGTAGTTTTAATCGTTATATTAGATTTGATAACTCACTGTTAGACATGCTATCTAATGGATTACTTAGTAGGCGTAAGTAATCTTGGTTGTTGGTGAGTGGTTTTCCTACAGAACGATCAATACGGCCGTACGTTAGACTACAGTTTGCACATGATCTGGTTATGTGGGAAGCTTACTTCTGCTTTCTACAGGTTTGTGTCTTTTGATTTTTAGAGTCAAGACGTCAATGTGTAGAATCGGAGTAGGTTATCAAGTCTTGGATGAGCTGGTGGATAGGGGCTGATTTATTCGCTTTTTGATTTATAGCGGTGTTTTATAGTCCGTAACTTTCAGCTGGTCAACATTCTACTCAGTTGTTGGAGATCGGGGTTTGTGCCTCGGGTTCTCAGTTTTGGGTGGTGTGTGCTCATTTGATATTTTGCCTAGTGGTAATGATCTCTTTGGTAGCAGTGAGGGCTAGATCGATTACTAATCCTTGATCTAATTTGATTATGTTAGTAGATTCAGATTTTCTTGGCGCTCTTCTGACTTAGTCTCGCTTAGCACGTGGCATTTACTCAGATGAGACACGGTCAGTTACCACCCTACCCCCATCAAACTCACCAGAACCCTACCTACCACCCACCCACCCTCATCCAACACCTTAACCACCCCATAGCAGCCTCCATCATGACCCCCATCACCTCCCCAGCCCATTCAGAAGCCCCCCAAAGCCAATCCAACAAGCTCTCAGCCACTTCAGAGCTCCTAGACCAAACCCTAGCCTCAGCCTCTGTCCCCCATGAAGCCCTAGCCCCATCTGAAGCAGCTCTAGCCCCAGGCACCCAAGAAGACCAAGGCCCCCCAGCCCCCCAAGAGGTCCTAATCCCATGTGAAGGAGTCCAAGCCATGGCCCCTCAAGACCAAGCTCCTGCCTTTGTCCCCCACAAAGCCCTAGCCCCATCTGAAGCAGCTCTAGCCCCAGGCCCCCAAGAATGCCAAGACCTATTAGGCAACCTAGCCGTAAACACACTTAATGACAATGAAGTGTCATGAGCACACACGGACAAAAGAGTCTTGAGTAAGACAAAGAGGAGCACACCTGTGGGTGATAATAGTGATGCAAACAGTGATGAGTTTGAATTTGAATAAGAAATGAACATGAGAGAGAATGATAAATGAGAAAACATCTGAAGTGAACCTTATTGACAATGAAGTGTTGTGAGCACATGTGGACAAAAGAGTCTTGAGTAAGACGAAGAGGAGCACACTTGTGGGTGATCATAGTGATGTGAACAGCAATGAGTTTGAATTTGAATGAGAAATGAACATGAGAGAGAATGATAAATTAGAAAACATCAGAAGTGAACCTTAATGACAATGAAGTGTTGTGAGCACACGCAGACAAAAGAGTCTTGAGTAAGATGAAGAGGAGCACACCTGAGATTGATGAGAAGTAAACAACTTGAGTCAATGAAAAGAAGAAATGAAAATGATGAAGAGAAAGCAGAAAGAAATAAAGCCACGGCATACCTTTGGGTGATGATAGTGATGTGAACAGCAATGAGTTTGAATTTGAATGAGAAATGAACATAAGAGAGAATGGAATACAACTGAGGAGTGAAAACGAGAAGTAAGCCTTTCTACAATTAGGTTAAGATTTTCTTGATTTAACTTTGATTATCATCATGTGCGCGGCACGCAACCCATGGTTATTCCGGAGTAGGCTTGTAGTTCAATAAGACCCCCCAGCCCCCCAAGAGGCCATAATCCTGCATGATGGAGTCCAAGCCGCCAATGGACCTCTAGATCCTGTCTTCCAAGAAGTCCTAGATGCCCCAGCACTCCCATCCGCAGTTGCTTTTGGAGGGCCAACTCCCAGACAACTGTGCAGGGTTGGAATTAGGGCTCCGACTCCCAAACACCTGCAGGGTTTTGGAGGTTTGACTCCCAAACCCCCCAATTTTGTTATTACTTTTAATATTTTTATGGATCGTTGACTCCCAAACAAACTGACGGGTTTGGAGGATTGACTCCCAAACCCTTGGGGGACAAAAAAAACGGGGGTTTGGACATCCCAGGACAGTCCACAGGATGTCCTGGACTTTTGGGAGTTGATCCTCCAATTTTTGGGAGTTGATTAGCCAAGACCCTATAATTACTTATGCAGCAATACAGGGGTGAGATTTCTGGGCTTATTTGCCAGCAAAAAATCCCCTGCCCCAGGTACCCAGGTACCTGCCCTGGTGGGTGCGGGTGTGGGTGTGGGTGTCCACAATATTGGATTTTTGAGGCAGGTACCCACACCCACTCTGGGTACCCAGGTATGAAGTGGCATCTCTATTGTAGTCCCACCAACAAGATGCCTTTCATGGTTGGGGCATGCCCTAACTGGTTGTTTTGGGTACTCAGATTGCCTTATGGCATTTGGATTGCTACTGGTTTTTAAATTCTTGGAAAGAAACACTTTGACCTGAACTTCTATGACTCTCACCAGAGCAGGATTCTTAGCTGATCAAACCTGCAGTTGGACATCACACTCCAGCTATTATGAAAGAAGACCAACTTTAGATATGGCATCATTTCTGATTTATTTATGTGACTCTTTTAAGTATGGTCTGCAGACAATGTCTGCAATGCTCTGCATCCACCTGCAGTGAAACATACAGCTGATGGACCTGACCACAGTCCACACTTCATAGATCAAATTACACGTAGGAAAAGATCGACAATGCCAGATCCTCGATGGGAAATCCGGAAATCTTACATTTTGGATCAGAATTGTGAATTTATATGCACCAAGTCGCTAACCACATGCACATGTGTGCCTTTTCGTGGACCATATAACCTGGTTAATCTTGAACCCACCCGCTTGTCTCCTCACATGGCAACATCATATGCCAAGAAACCATTTTCTACGCAACTCAACCGTGGATTCAAGCTAAAGACAGCATGTATTGCGGCCATCTGAATAATTTTAAGATAGTGAAGTGAGTCTGCTAATCCCTTTAGGTGCATTACATCCCGGCTGAGCTGCCGGAGGCGATTCGTTGGTCGTGAAAGGCTGGAAAATGGTGAATGAGAAAGCGACTATCAGCCTCTCTCAGCGCATTCAAGAGTGGGCTAACCTACCAAGACTAGGAAAGTCACAATAGCCTCCACGAGGAGGCATAAGGAACAGGTCGATCGACTTCAAACGACAGGGCGGATTTGAGTCAAGTAAGAATCTGCAGACGGCACCCGGTTTCGCAACAAGAGGCAGACGATCAGATTGTAGGACAGCAGCTGATCAGATAAGTATGTATGGCAGAAGTGAGCACCCGGCATACAGACACGGATACTGTCATCAGATACGACAGCCGATCTCGATTCTCCACCCTCCGTTCGGATGCATGCATTATTTATGTAACTAATCGTTCAAAAGGGTGTCTAAACCCACTGGGCCCCGCTCTATTGAAAGATCAAAGGGCAGATCAAATGTGAATAAAGATTTCCTTGTCGGATTATGGATAAATATGCACATACTATTGCAGAAGAACCATTCAACGCAAACCGGCGGCAATGTACAATCAGTGCCTGGTATTTTGAGAACACTGGAATGCCGCTTCGTTCATATTGATGGATATTGAAGAGGGGATAGAAAGGGTGTATTCCCCTGACTTATTCGGGTCGCCATTGTTCAGAAAGGGGGGGGGATTTATGTAGTGAAAAAAAGCATGAATATTTGTATAAAGGTTCGTAAAGGCTCCAGCTCATACAACGGCACCGTATTTCGCAATGAATGTGCACGGATTTCTCGGTTCAAAAAAGGGGCTTTTTGTGTCAAGGAGTAAAATTCCAGGTGAAGATCGCAAAAACCTCTGAACTTTTCAACAAGTGGCCAGAAGGCGGCCGTGACTGCAAAATTGTGGAACACAAGAATCAGCGGGAATGGATTCCAGGCATTGTTGCTTGATGACATTGTTAAAGAATAAAAAAACCACTTAAACATTCATGAATGCAATTGAATGGAATGCTTTTCACAATTGATTAGAGGTGAGAATCAGTCAGGACGGACTTGCTCCCATCAACTCCCCGAGTGATTTGCTCGGTTTGTTTTAACTTCAAACTCGGCTAACAAGACATCATACAGCAGCCGGGCCTTAAAATCTTCATAGGACCAGTCACAATTCAGTATCCAGCCGGCAATCGGATGAGATGGAAAGAGAAGAGCGGAACTTGATGTACTTGGCATACATCAAGCATACTCAGCGTCAGTAAGGTCACGACTCACCGCCTCGGCCCTCGCCAGGAAATGAACGGTTTTCGATGCTGATGAAAGGATGAAGGCCTGTTGAAATTTTTACGCACATGCTACAGCCATTTCTACTTCGTGTTGACGCATGCGTTCACCCGAGCTCCTCTTGTACTTTCTGGACCTTGGAGTTAGTATAACAACAATTATATATCTGATGAAAATTTCTTGAAGTTGTACCCCCATGACTCAATTGTACTTACCGAGAAACATGCCGCTTTAAGGCCGAGTCTCATCCGGAGACACGCCTCGGCATTCCCCTCCTGTTCTCCCCCCTAAGAACACGAAAACTACCAAATTTCAAGTATGCTTGTGTTGGCCCTGCGTGGTATCACTAGTACGAAAATGCTTCATGAGTTGACGTAGGTTGATGTCCAGTGTACGGTACCGCACCAGCGGGCGCCACAAGGGAATCTCTGGAATCTCAGAAACATAGTGACCCCTCAAGCGCAGCCAGGATTTTAATATGGATAGGATTTAGAAGCAACTATGTATATATATACCTTTTATCACCGATTGGTATGTACAATTTATTTAATATGTAGTCCTCCTTGATCGCAATACCCAGTAACCTGAGGGTTAGCTGAAGGTGTAACTGAAAAAAAAACACCGGGCAAGAAATCAACAAACTGCAACACCCTTCGAAAAGAAAGAAAGATTCGAAACGTTGTTTTGTTACCTGCCGATTACCGAGTACACCTAAACCCATCGAGATCGCTCATCATCAAGCCTTCAGAGGTTAGAAATTAGAGCATACCAGACTCCACATCTGGTAGATGGGAGCGTGCACCAGTGAGCGGAGGTTTGGGGGGGCTTGATCCATCTTTTTAGACATATTTAGCATCGTTTAATCTTGTGTCGGAAAGCGGAAAACGATAGACAAGGGGATAACGAGAACCGTATATCTAGAGGGAATGCATGCTAATATCAGCTCGAGCTTTCCAGAGCCAGCAGCTGTGCCTGTATGACTCTATCGCTGGTTGTACCAGCCGGTGGTCTGGCTATAAAATGAACATAACGTGTTCTACAGTATTTAGTAGAAAGTTAATTTCTTTCCTGTCAAGCTCCCAGCCGATTACAATCCATTTTGAACCCTCCGACTGGGACTGGCTCCATTGATTTTGGCAACAAACAAATAAATATTTAGATGTTTCATTTACAGTACCGACCTCCCGCCCACCTTATCTCAGTCTGGCCTCCAGCTAAACTTCATTTCCTATTCGTCTCAGAAACCTGCAGCAAATTGAACCACTCCCTCAGCACAAAGCTATCCTGAGCTTTGTTGTTTCCCTTTAAGTCTCTCATCCATTGTCTCTGGATGATCTTTCAACTACATAATTGTACTCTACTTGGCTCCACCGCATCAACTCCACTTCTGTCGCCCACCTTACCCCACTGGCAGTTTCACAGGTTCTGTCTGTCGGCGTACTGAGCCAAGACTCTTCTGAAAGTGCGGCGGGCCTTTTCTGGTGATTCGCTTTGATTGTCTTGCTGCAGGGAAATCCTTCAACATAAAAGAGGCTCGCGTGTGGCGGTACCATTCTGTATTGTCCTCCCAGAAATCAACCACACGCATCCACATTCCTTACGATCACATCTCAGCTTACTAAAAAAAAATCTGAGCTTAAAATCCAAGGATTAGTGATACAAACGAGTGTGTAGTTCATACTCCGTCAGCTGTATCAATCAAGGCGATCAAGTCATCGTTTCGAATTTTTTTTGTTAAACCCAACTTAAATTTGCAAACAACGAGCAACCCTCTTCTTTATCGCTTTCCATCATATAAACTTGAACCATCTACCCAGACTACCAGCAGTTTAACTATTTGATCCTCATAGTATCCTCATAGTTAAGACCTCGGGATCTTTTACGGCTGTCTGGCGCTTGTGATACGACTCGCTCGGCTTCCCTTCCTAAACCTTCTAGTCTCCGCTGCTCGTGCACGAGCGAGTTGGCCATATTTCTGTAGGTGGGTAATATGTTTTTCTACTTGATTTCGTTGTAGGAATCCGTTCCACTGTAATTTTTGGATTTCTTGGTCATCCATTAGCGCATTCCACTGGTTTAGACAGTCTTCGCAATCCGCTTCACGTCCTTACCGGATTGTCTGGATTGTCCCTCAACTCAGGCCCCGTACTGACGAGAGCTACATGTTGATGCAACTTTCAACTGGTTGCATCGATTGGTAGAGCTCTGCGGTACCTTAGAGCTTCCATGATTTTATTAGTCCCAGGCATGACTTTAAAAACCCTGGTCATCAGCTGTTAACTGTGATTCTCCCAATTCCCTTCCCAAAACCTTCAGACTCTAGACATCTCATAACCTCAAAGTTTTCTAACAATTTGACCACCAATCCTACATAAATAGCTGCTTTTTTTAATAATTACGGAATACCAAAGCTAGATCCACACAAGGGGATCTAGTTGGTTTGGCTCAGTAGCCTTCAAATCGGTGGGTAAATAGTTTCGAATTTCACGCGGAAAATCTGGCTATCATAAGTTTTTAGCATTTAATTCGGGCTGCCAGCTCAGCCCAGTTTGCGGCAGCTCTGAAGCCGACTCAGCCTTTCATTTTTCTCACCATAAGAAAGGGTCCCAGATCTTTTGTGGACTCGATCAACAAACATACTTTTATCCTTGAACCCATATTTCCATTTTTCCTGTCACATACACATTCGAGCCAGCGTTGACATTTAAAATCTGAATTTTCTTACTCCCGATAGCTCAAAATATTTCATCCGGCCATCAAGATGATGGAGTTGATTCCAGCGACGATGAGACTGATACACAACGAGATAGTGCAAAACTTTCGTATAATTTTCTCATTATTCATCTGCATTCTATCTCCTGTCATCCTATCGAAGATTACCCATCGGAGACGTCGGCTTCCTCTGCCTCCTGGACCTAAGTCTTACCCGTTCATAGGATATTCATTCGGCCCATAGTCAGTACTCTTTTAGTTGCAGTTTTCTCTTGTTCGACATGAAATTCGGCCGGCTCATAAACACTTCGAACTTAGCCATTGGCGACAGATGGAGAAAATAACGAAGGAGTATGGACCGGTTTCATCGGTAAGATTGGGCAACAATAAGCTGTTGGTGATTGTGGGTCGTGTCGAACCAGCGCTGGCGCTATTGGAAGGTCGCAGCAGCATATACTGCGATCGACCACAGTTAGGTAAGAGAGATCGCCGTTCGCTTAACGTAAGAGGCCCCACAGGCTAACATTTACTTTCTTGTCGTAAGAAATGGCTGGCAATATCATGTCTGGAGGGCTACGTACCCTTTGCCTTCCTTACGGGGACCGTTGGAAAAGATTTCGCAGGTGAGAAGTAGGATTCATCTTATCTACTGCGATTAACCTGAACTAAAGTCCATTCCTGTTTTTCACAGAGTGCTCCATTCCCAATTGGATACTAAAGCAGCAACCTCGTTTGTGTAGCCCACTAGCACTCTCCAAACCGGCCAGATCTCCTAACTGCTTTCTTTCATCCAACTAGATACCAGCCAATCCAAGAACGTGCATCGCGTCAACTGATTCTCGACATTCTTGAGCGTCCAAAAGATTTCACCGAGGCCCTCACACGGTGAGTACAACCGTTAACATCTTCTCGAGGCAAGGTAGTCGAATCTTTCCGCTAACCATTCTCTCGTAATAGGTATGCGGCTAGTGTGATCATCAAGATCACATATGGAAAATTGACTCCGATACATCATTCTGACGATGAAGTTGTACAAGTCATCAAGACTTTGACTCGTTTCAGCAAAGCCGCGCGCATAGGCGCGCATGCAGTCGACCGTTTTCCTTGGTTGCGTTACATCCCCGGTTGGGTAGCCCAAGGAAGAAAATGGCATCAGGAGGAGCTCAACCTCTTTAGCTCCCAAGTGGATGGTGTGCGACGCGAAATGAATATTCCTGGGAAAAGGGATAGCTGTTTTGCATCCTATATGCTTGAACGTCAAAAGTGAGAAAAATCAGTGTTGCCTTCCGTTTCGATTACAATGATCTATCACTCACGAAACTCTGCCCTCTCACTTTTGTACAAACAAAACGCGATTAGGGAATTCTCATTGTCTGACAATGAGGCAGCATACCTGGCGGGTGAGTCTTGATTAGAATCCCAAAACCATAACGCAATATTTGGGGATTTCTTTGCACTGTATTAAGATAAAGTTCGGAGCTTGCAGGGTCTCTATTTGGTGCCGGTTCCGATACTACTGCAGGTAAGCTTAGCGCTTGAAAAAAAAAAAAAAACTTCCAGATCTTTTTTACTGATTTAGTAATGGTCCTTGCAGCTGCTCTGGCCATCGTGATATTTGCGGCAGCTTGCCATCCAGAGGAAGTCAAGAAAGTGCAAGAGGAGCTTGGAAGTGTTGTGGGAAATGGAAGAAGTGGGTTAAATATTTTCTACTTTATCCAGGGTAGCCTCTTATTGATAACCCTTGTGAATGCGTACTTGCAGTGCCAACCTTCGATGATTATTTTGAACTTCCGTTGGTGACGGCCTTCGTCTGTGAAACATTTCGATGGAGACCTGCCTCTGCAGCTGGTGTGTATTTTTCTTCGGGAAGTATGTTGGTCCCATGACTAATAGAAGGAACTTTTAGGATTTATGCACGCCACCGTCAAGGATGACGTGTACGAGGGTCACTTCATTCCAGCTGGATCATGGGTTGTTGGTAACCACTGGTAAATATCTGAACTTTCAGCGGAAGATTTGAACAGCAATCCCTTCATGCTCTAATATCATCCATTTGCTATAAAAGGTCCATCCATCGTGATGAGTCTGTTTTTCCGGACCCAGACAAGTTCGATCTCATGCGGTGGCTCACGATTGACGATAAAACTGGCAAAACTGTCCTGAGGCAAGATATGAGGCATTTTGCATACGGCTTTGGAAGACGGTAAGCGACTCCGGATCTATTAAGACGTACATATCAGCATCGCAAAAAAATGATTCCTTTGTGTTGATCTATCAATCATCAGGAGATGTGCGGGAATCACGATTGCAGACCGAAGTATGTTCATCAACACCGCCAATCTTCTATGGTCTTTCGACATCAAAGAAAAAGTGGACAATAATGGGAATGTGATTGAATTGGATAGAATGGGCAAGTGCCAGTCGCTCCTTCCCACCTAGAACATGAATCTAATATGGTTCTGCATGAACTTTACAGCATTTGAGGACGCGACCAACTCAAGACCGAAACCCTTTGAAGTGGACTTTGTTCCACGGGTCCCAGATTTACGAAGAGCCATTGAAGAAATGAGCGCGTGTTGAAGTTGATATTTTCTTTACCAATATTGTCTATTGTATCGCATAGAATACATCATGGACTGCTCTTCTTTGTGAATTCTTATTTTGGCGTTTTTTCCTTGCATAAATTTTATATTTAATAATGGTATATAAGTACCCTGTGTTTCTCCAAGCTTCGCCGAGTGCAGTTGGACTTATGTTTTGATCCATACTTCAGTTGTAAAAAAAATCATGTTTGAAATAAACCACCCACAAAGTTTCTATGATTAAAACAAGCAATACATACAGACCAGTTAAAAGTGTTTGAGAAATTCATACCAGAGTATTCAACTGCAAGACTAGCACTAGGAAAAAGAGTGAAACAACACCGAGCAAGAGAGAAAGAAAAGAAAGAAAACAATGTGTGAAAAATTTATAATGATTTTGTCTGGTGAGTGATGAATCAGCCAGTATAATTTTGTCTAGTGAGTGATAGTTTCATGAGTAGGTTGGCAAACATTGTATAGTGGATTGCCAATAGATTTGATCACATTGCTTTTCATTCCGGAACCTCAGGCTCAACGCATAAAACTGAACTCATGAGACTTTATAGAAATTGTTTAAAAAAAGTTATGTAAATTGATTTTTTTGCAAGAAGGTGCACCATAAAAAAATGATGTTACTTGCTGACAGGTGACATCATGAGGTTCACACCCCACCCCTGTCAAAGCTCAGGGTAAGCACAAGTTCAGTTTCCACTGGGCAAAAATGTACTGGATCAACAATGGGGCAGCTTCATCTGGAGAGTCCTTGATGACACTTGCTAGTGTGTGACATGACAGTGTCCATGGTGAACTACAAACATAATCTACTTCCTCCATGTGTACAGTGGTTACCCCATAGCATTTTTTTTCTTCTCTTATTGAGTTTCCTTGATAATACGTACAGTAAAACCTGCTGGTGATGTGGTGGCCAGCACCAATAAATCATAGTGAAATTGGTGGAAAAGACATGAAAATTCAAATGATGGTGGATTAGATTTTAATTTTTGGCCAAAAGAAATTATACAAGCCTTGTAGAAACAAGGCTCATGTGATATGGTTGAAATCAAAAGTGGGGTTTTAATTTAGGATATAGGAGGGCTTAAAAATTGCTCTAAATGGTGACGGGAAGTCCCCCAATCTGCATTCAAAATTGAGACTCTTCAGTACCAGAATACAATTTGAGCTGGTAAAATAACTCACTGAATGGAGGACTTCCCGTTGTGGTTTAGAGTGCTTTTTAGACCTCTCTCAAGCTTAAATTAAGAACACAATCAAGATTTCAACCAGCTCATGTGAGAGCTATTACCAGAAGGCTTCAGAAAAAATATTTTTTTGATAAAAAATTTAGATCTAAGGGGTGTGAATCAACTTCTGGGGGGGTGGTAGATTTCGACGGGACGTCATCCAATACCTTTTTAAACAACCTATGGCTCAATTTTCATTTCCAAACATTCATTGGAGATTTCATACTATTATTTCAGTTTTCCTCTTTTTCACTCATCCTCAGAAGAATATTGTATACCATTCTACCAAGTATCATGAATTCAAGTTTGTGGGCCAGGGTTTGGGAATCCAAAACAATGTGATGAGAACTGCTGACAATCCAATGTTGCACATAGAGGGAGTTTCAAATCAAAGGACACCTGGATGTGATGTCCTTCATCAAATTGCAATATAACACATCAAACCGGATGGGCTTCGATCAGAGGGGACAGTAGACCATCTATACAGAAGCGGGGAGTTCGGCTCGAGGCCTGTCGAGCGGCCGGCGATGGATCTATGTACGCCGCCGACGGGGCAAAAAGTTTCCCGGAGAGCCGTGAGCGGAACCGACACAAACCTGGTCGTTGTCCATCAGCCAGTCGGGCAGCCGCAAGCCGGGGCATCATACACCCACATTCATACAGAGTGTATATATGGTGACTGCCTTATAGTTTTCGGCACAGTTTTTACTTATGAGATATGGCTGGCAGAGACCAAGGAACTTATTCAATTGTGAATTTTGCTTATTACAAAAACACTCCTCCGCTACTGCCAACCGAGGAACTTGACAATAAATAGATATCTATGTATATGCATTCTTTCCATGGTCACCCACTTGTGCAAGTTGAAATTACATGAAGAAAAGGGTTGTGGTGGACGACTGGATCCTTCAGATAAACCTGAAACATTTCCTTATCAACCACAACTTTAAGTATCTGTTGATAGTTAAGCTAGTACCCCCTTTGCCCGATATCTCTTCATATTTATCAACATCATCAAGATACTCAATCAATCTCCTGCTTCCCTTCCTAAGGCAACGAGTGATTAATAAAAATAAGATTTTGTCAGGAGTATCTTCACACTATCCCGTACTCAATCTTTTCCAAGGCGGGCTGGTCCTGCCCAGACTCCAGTCTTCGTGATATTCAGCAACGGCGAACGTTTCTGGAGACTGCATTCTTTCTCCAAGCCTCCCTCACTCGCATAGGAAGAAACTTCAGAGGTTAATCATTGTGCTTCAGCAGAGGATCAGTCAAGATGCTCAAACATTCAAGGAGTAGTTTATCAATTTTCCTCCGGCCAAAAAGTATTGTAAGTGTTCACATAAACAGAGATGCATTCGCCTTCTGGCCATTGTTATCCTGAAGAAAACAAACTGAGCTTCTTTGCGACTACTAGGTGTATAAACTCTTCTCTCACCGTTACCTCTTAGTTGTTGTGATCGTTGCGACTTCGCAAATGATTTTACAACTTTGGTTAGAAGGTCGATCATTAGTCATTCATGTAAGTTTGTTCGCTGCAGTCTTACTACTTAGAAGCACAAGCTCCTTGAAAACGCTTCGCTTGTGCAACCTCTATAAATTCTGTGACGCACAATATTCTTCTGCTAACAACATTCGTTTTGAAACAACAGCGTCAAGGAGTGGACCTCTTGGTAGAAATTCTGGAGACGAGGAATCGGCCGTTGCCAATGCCGGAGCCTTCCAGCAATGAAATCACCCCCGCAAGTCAACCAAACCGGAGAAGTTTGCAATATCAAAACACAGCGTTGGATTCAGATCATGGGTTGTTACTCATGGGTCGGACACTGACGAAGCGGGATGGGGAGAAAGAAGGTGAGTGCACATTTTCAAAATGCAGGAACTTTAAATTCTATATTTTCAGTTTTAACAAATAATAACAAACCTGCCTCATCGTCTCAAGGAAAACCTCCTGAAATCCCACCACCAACACCTTTAGCACTTGTTCCACCTCCAGCCGCTCCAGCAACATCATCAAGACTTCCACCTCAGTCTCCACCGCCTGCTGCTGGTTCGGCTGCACCACCGCCAGTTCCAGCACCAGCACCAGCACCAGCACCAGCACCAGCACCAGCACCAGCACCAGCACCAGCACCAGCACCAGCACCAGCACCAGCACCAGCACCAGCACCAGCACCAGCACCAGCACCAGCACCAGCACCAGCACCAGCACCAGCACCAGCACCAGCACCAGCACCAGCACCAGCACCAGCACCAGCACCAGCACCAGCACCAGCACCAGCTTCTACTGCTGCACAACCGCCAGTTCCTGTACCAGCTGCCGTTGCCGCACAACCGCCGGTCCCTGCACCAGCGCCAGCTGCTGCCGTCCCACCAGCAAGGCTTTCTTCTGCACCACCATCAAAGCCCCCATCACAACCCCCACCAGCAGCAGGAGCTCCTTCCCCATCAAAACCAATTGTTCCTCCACCGAAAACGAATTCTACGCCGCCGGTGACACAACCGACTGTTCCGCCGCCACAAACAAATCCTCCTCCACAGACACAACCTAATGTTCCCCCGCCACAACCGAAGCCTAGCGCACCACCATCAAAGCCTCCATCACCACCAGTTTCTTTCCCCGCACCGTCTAATCCTCCGCCGCCTTCACCGGCTGAAGCAGGAGGTCGTGATGAGAAAAAAGTGAAAGCAGAAGAGGAAGTTAACAAAAGACGCAAAGAGAAGAAACCTCCCAGTAAATCGTCCCAGACACGACTTTCAGATGTTGAACAAGACCCAAGCGCACTTAGCATCCTTCAGGAAGTCAATCAGGGTGGTGATCCTAAAACAACGCAAACTACAGATGTTGCTGCGCCTGGCGCTGCAATATTTGTACTTGATGGAAACTTGATCAATTTATCGGCAAAATGTGTTACAGCGTTGAAGCAACCCATGAAGTTCATCTCTCGAAGTCATCGGACTGATATTGCAAGGATAGTCTTCCATATTTGGGTATGTGAAATAAGTTAAATCCTGTAAATAAAGGTTCCTGATTTCAATCTAATGAGGTTCAAGTGCACTCTTTCTAGCTCTGGGGTCTCACTATCTGGGGCTTGCTTTTGGAATCAGTTCCTCATCTTGCTGCGGTGGTAGTATCTCAATTTATCAGCACGGCATTCGTGGCCCTGGATTTGCGAAAAACTGTTACTATGAAGGAGGAGGTAGGTTGAAACCATAATTAATTTGTGTGCATCTACTAATTGCTTGCTGTGATTTTGCAGTTCACAAATGTTGTCAATAATGATTGTGATGGAGTGGATGTGCTTCCTGATTTCTGGGGAGTTTTGTTAAAATTGGACATTGTAGCTGTGGTTTTTGCTTCTGCCACTGCCCTTGCCTTCACCTTCTTGGCCTTCAAACTTTATGCGGTCTGTTACATTTCTATGTTCTGGGAAGATGCATATAAGCCTTACTAAGTAGATCTTTTTGTTTTTTGAATTGACTGTCAAAAATCCAGGTCTTAGACTGGCGTACTTTCAAGAAACTTGGCGCTAGTCGAATGGTTAGGATCGCACATACAGTTTCTTTGATTTTTGCGGCCATTCTTCAGCTCAATGCATACTTTGTGATTGTTTTTCTGGTGAGTAAATTGAAGAGCACAAGATTTTGTTCCTTCCTGTGCGCTTATATCAGTTGGAATTGTGAACAGTCACTATGGCTTGAAGAGGTAGTCACACACAAATGGAAAAGTGGCTCGCAAAACCGTTTCAGCACCAAAAATTTCAAGGCTGCTTTGGGGATCTTGTTGGCGCTTTCAGTCCCATGGTTATTGGTTGGAAAGTCAGTGGTTGATACTAAAGAATACAAAATATCTTGAAATAATTCTAACAGTTTTTATGACCACGATGATGATGTGGAACCCAGTTTCTCCTTGAAAAACGAGAATATGATAGGAATAATTGCATTCTTAACTTATGATGTTGCTTTACTGTCAGTACCATTCAAACGTTTCTCATTAGACCATTGACATCATTTTCTAAATTTTCCTTCGGTTCCTTACTTTTTTAGCTCGTTCACCATCTTCCTTTTGTGTGAAAACTTCTACCAAAGGATGGCAAACTTTTCGGTATTCTGTTAGTCATTTTCCTTCGTGTTACAATCACTACGCTCCTCAAGCTTTTTTGTCTCTTGAGCTGATATCTGTATTATCATTTTTTGTATTCAAAGTGAATTTCACCGGAATCATGGCTTGCATTCTGATGTTTGCCAGTTTAATTATAGCTGTGGCTTGCCTTTTAGTGTTTGATCGAGGACTTCTTGTCAAGGGTAAGTCCACAAAGTTAACATTGTAGTTGGTGATGATTACTCATTGCTGGTCTCATCTTTTTAGTTAATCGGGATTCAAAGGCCTCATCTGATACCTTTGAAAGGCCTTCAATAAATGATGATGAAGTAGCCTTCCCAAATAACAACGTTACACCGTACTATCATCAAAGCAACCTGACAAGTCTTTCAGGCGCCAAAGAATATGACACCGGTTCAATTGTTTCACAACCTCAAGCTGTACTTTCATCTCGACTGGACTATCTGGACCATCCCGAAAAGATAAATCCAATTGAGTTTGGTGGAAACCTATCAGCTAAGTTTCAAGATTCTGGAAACAAAGAAAGGCATAGTGATTTATCTCCCCGGCCGTCATGGATTGCAGGCGATGAGAAAATCTGGATGGCTCCTGAAAACAACAGACCGCGACGTCCGAGTGATGATTCACATTATTCTTTTAGTAGTGGTGCACTTTCCTATGCTACTACAACTTCCAGTCAGTCAAGATCAAGCCTGAAACCAGAAGATAAATTGGAAAAGCCCAAGCCCGCCTTGTTATAAATTCTTTATATATTTATGATGAATACCTTCCACGTTATGAGATGCATCTAATAAATATCAGAGTTATTCTTCATGTTCATATCTTCAGATTTCAAGAGAATCAAGATTACAAACCAGCAAATTTGTGAAAATTGTAGATACCATGACAAAGCTAATAAGACCTATTGACTGTTTACATGTAGATAACTTGAAATTTATATGCATTGAAAATTGGAGCAGATGATTTTGATTGTGATTTAAATCTGTAAGGATAATTACACTGACCATGCCCAAACCCCAATAGAACCTCCACACAAAGTTTTGTTTGGGTGATATACATATATGTATCAATGTGTGTAAGTATATTTCCAGCAAATCCTCAGCTCAAACATGTGGCTGTATTTTGGGAAATCATAACAGACATGACCAGATCAAATCTCAACCTGTTTGCTAAGAGAGGCCCACAGATCATTGCCACAGGAAATACAGCACTCAGAATTCATGTTTTAGACCTTCAAAAGGATGGAGTTGAGCCCAGTAATGTTGATTAAGGCTTTAAAATTCATTCCATTTGTTAGATCTCAAGCTAGTTCTACAGCTTATAATAAAATACAAAGATCAAACAAAATATCCCTTTTTTACAGGAATATCTTCACTCAGTTTCACACTAGCTTTCTAGAACCAATTTCAAGGAAATACATTCATTGAAAGAAGTGCCAATGCAGGCAAGCTCTCAGAACCCAAAGCCCCTTCTTTCAACTAACCAAGGTTACCTGCATAGAGGGAGATATTTTTTCAAGTGATGGTTCTGGTCAGCCGCACTAAATTCATCATCAGTGTAGATTATTGCAGTGGAAAATGAAAACATTTATCTGCCAGTGGCTAATTTAGGCACACACTAGCAAGGGCTGTGCTGTGTTGCACTTGTTTTGAATTTTTGGAAAATTGTCCAATGAAGTAGTTGTGATGCACTGATTTTAAAATTCAGCAGTACATGCACTGAGAGTCCCTTTGGGACCCCCCCCCCCCTCCTCACTGTTTATTGACCTTACAAAACCACCACAATTGGCTCCATGGATGTCATGGGACCAGAGTCCCTGGTAAATAGAAACCTCTAGCCCACCTTCCAAGATTCCGCATGTTTGGTGACATTCTTCTTCTTCTATCTTCCCACAAGATAAAGAGAACTGGTTCTACACCTTTGCCTTTCCAATCTTGCCTGCTGAAACCCATGGCACTGGTGTAAATTATTTGAGATCACTTTACAAAATACAAAGCCACATTCTGTTTACAAATACATCAACAATAGATACTGATGAGTGAGAGGAGAAAACAAAGGCAGACTTGGTTTACATCAAAGGGACTTGATCAACAGATGAATTCCTCACAGCAAGCATAGAACACAATAAGACAAATTGGACATTGAGGAAGCATATAAGCTGAAGCTCAATTCAGTAAGGTTCGGTGGTTGTCCCGAGTTTAGGAATACACAGTACGATATCGGAGAAGCCAGGAATAGAATACATTTCTAATGAACCGCCTGTGCATGTTTTTTTTTTGGTTATTAGTTCGTCCTAGCTCTGCTGTGCGATCAACTCTCAAGAATGTCTTATACCCGAGAAAGGATTGGTGTAAGTTGAAAACAAAAAGAGACAAAACGTACCTAAGAACTGGGCATAAATTGAGCTGAGAGGAAGGCCGATGCGGAGTCTTGCTTCTTGAATCTGTTCAAGTCCTCTCGTGTTTGTTGAAGAGGGGGACGATATCGACGAGGAAGGAATGTGAGGTTGATCGTGCGCCTGATCGACCTGTTCACGAACTTTGCCTTCCATTGTCCCGTCGGTAGAGCTGACTAATTGTTTAAGACTATCATTAGCCGTCGTCATATTAACAAAGCTGAACATTTCGCGTCTGGATACTGTGGGAGGCAGGCTTTCGTCATCATCGTCTGTAAATGATGGCCGCCAGGAATGTAAGATCCCGCCGGCTTGGTCTGAGATCCGGATGGTGATGTGCGTAGCGGAAGAGGCAATTTGGACTTCGATCGGCAGACTGGCAAGATCAAGCGACCGCTGTACTGCCGAGCTTATTGTGGCTCGAAATGCATTCAGAAGCAGTTCGAATACGATAAATCTAGGGCAAAAAACCCGAAAAAAAGAGAAGAATCAGTTGAGATCATGATCTGAAAAAGCATAAATATGACCCCAAAGTAAAAAAAGCAGACCAACAAAAATAAAGAATAAAAATGGAAAGAAAAGCTAGTCAAACGGACTCAAGATGATCTGGTATATATGCAAATTTGGCGTCTTTTTCACCGCGAACCAGTACGGTGACAGGTTGTTGAGAAGAGGAGCCGCCAAGACTATGTGAGTTGAGGGTAGTTTGGGCAAGTTCGATACACCTTTGGACGACATTTCCGATCTCCAACTCGGTGTCGATCACCCCCAGATATCGGATGTTTTGGCTCGAAGGTTTCGAGGAAGAACTTTCTTGGAACTGTCGGGTTAAAGCGATGTGATGTTCTGCCAATACTCTTCGTGAGATTCGCGAATATAACATCCGAGTCATGAATTGCTCGACCTGCGAATTCGTCAAATGGCTCCGCGATTCGGCTACTCCAATGGCAAGCTATCATTTTTTTGTTTGATTGTTTGTTTCGAAATAACGAACGAAAAACCTATTAGTATTATAATTATATACCCACAGAATCGACTAATGCATAATCAGCAGTAAATTGCTCACCTTAGGAATGACGACTTTATGCTGATTAAGCAAGTTTTCTAAGAATTGAGACCACTTCTGATTATCGAGTCGACAACGAATCTCAGGATACAATCTGAAGCTCTCAAAGGCCTCGACGTACATCTGATAGGTCTCAGTGAGATAAGGGTTGGAGGTAACGATGTAAGGCAACGATTGGAATTCGCGTATCTGACGAGCCAAACGAATCGCAAGTTGGACCCGAGTCTATCATGATCAAGTAAACTTAGTCAAAAGAGAAAGAAACCGCGATCGATGCAGAGGATCACTGGGGACGCACAAAATTGGCACCTTGCATCAGATTGTGGTCGACCTCCTTGTCGTTGGAGCCCTGTCGACCCAAGACTTTCCCAAAGAAGATGAGCTGTCTGAGACTGAAGGGGGCAGCTTCCATCTCAGCATAGCGGAGGATGTGTGAGTTGCTATAGAAGTTAATTTTCTGGTTATCTTCGTTACCAAGTGGTGATGCTGATTGTCTTGAAGCGGAGGAAGAGGACCTCCAGGCGGATGACTTGAGGCTCGGTCGGATGCGGTTCATGGTTCTCGGCCGGTATGACGCAACTGGCCCAGTCAACTCACCCCTCTCTTAAATTGCCATCCCTCGCTCCTCGGTCTCCACAAAACCTCCTCAACAAATGGTCAATCCAACACATCTTCAGCAGACCCCGCCGGCCGGGCATCGGCCGGGCTATCAGCCGATCTGCGCCCTCGGTCGCAATGCCGCTAGACACAGCTATCCGGTCAACACTCGGATATATCCGAGCCCTGACTGGGATCATCATACATACCCCCTTTATTTTTGCCAACAGCCTTGAGTTGAGTTGAGGGACACTTCCGTTCCCTTCCAACCAAAAGTTGTGCCACTGGAATGAAACCTGTACAAAACACAAGCATTGCTTCCAAGAATGAAAAGTCGGGACAGATTAGAAGGTTGAGAGGCTCTCTTGCCTTAATTCTTTTTTTTTCCGCAACGGGTCGATAAAGCAAATTAAAAAAATTCATTCGAGTTCGAGATGAGGCCTAGTTGCTATGAGAGGCAAGCAGGCGATGATCCGAGTCGATATAGTCTCTATATTGAGGGGCTATTACTATTAGACTATTTGATGGGCGGTACTCCTGGCAACTCTTCGATGTCGATCGAGAAGACTTCCAACTGTTCTAGAAGCTCATACGGTGCAGAGCATTGCGGTTTCTCTCCGACAAGAACGTACAGACGGCTAGCTATGTAGTGCCGCTTTCCCAATAATATATCTCTGTTTGTTGTTGGTGTTTCTTCGGTGGTGACGCCCAAAGCTGTGGAGAAACCGCGTCTTCTTGACAACCCACGGCAACAGTATCGATAGAGCCTAGGGAGGAGGATCCCCTTCCCGTTGTTTGTTATAAAGGCCCACCTTCATTCGTCCATCTCGCAATGAGAACCTTATTTCCTTAACACCTTCATGGACAATCTAAATAAATATTTCTATTCAAACTATCACCCCAAGTAAATCCATGCTTTCCATCTATTAACCTGGATACACATTCAGCTGAACCAGATAAAAACTCTCCAAGGGTCAGTTTCCCAAAAGTGGATCACACTATCCATTTCTCAGAGTGATCTGTTTTGGATTCCCTTATAACATTTGAGACTCATATGTATTCCATTGACCAAATTACGTAAATAGGGGAATGATCGAGCCACTAAGCCGGGTTGTACGTTCAGGCAGCGTCAATGTCAATAACCCCTTCGCTGAAACAAGGATGCCCGGTTGCAAGGTAAATGCACAACACTAGTATCTGGAGTTTGAGTTCATGAGCGTGATTGATCATGAATTATAACACTAAACTGTGAACACTTTCTTTTCTTTTTTTTTCTTTATAAAATCATAATACATACATATAAAGAAAAAACTCAAAAACAAAATCTCATGGAGTTGTGCACTTCTTCGTCGATCCAGAGCAAATTCAGACCCTGGTCCTACAGCAACTCTTCCCTTGAGCCACGCCACAAACGAGGGGCATGGAACGCCGGACGAATTTCCCATGTTATCGCGAAGTAGAAGTGTGCACACGAGACCTGCAGTACCCTTCGTACAGGCTCAAGTATCGCCAGCACCGGGAAGTGTCGTGTCGATTTGTGAGACTGACTTCTATGACGGGACTCCCAAGATGTGGAAACAAAGCCAACGATTCTTTTGCGATGAGATTGTCTATTACCGACAAAGGAACCCTCAGCCACCGAGTCTCTCTGCCACTCAGTTCCAAGAAGACACCAAGATTTGGCTCGAGGGTTTAGCTCGTAGGAGTAAATTGGCCAGAGATCGATCCAACCACAAGACGCGCGACGAACAGGACATCCTTCCAAGTGTCTCCAGCCAAGCAGGCCTGTCAGTGGCACCACTCAGGCCTACTACGAAGGTCAAACCCCGTCCAGTGGAAGGGAAATCTGACGCGAACAACTACGATGGACGCCGTATGGCTGGTTCGAGCATGAACGGCGACTCTGGGTCTGAACATGCTGACCAGCAGAAGCACTTACACATACCATATCTGGAGAGATTGAGGCGAAGTGAATCGCCAAGCTTGTTTCGTGCGAGCTTCGAAGAGGAGCATGTCAACAGTAGTAACAATAAGAGATTAGTCTCCACTTGGTCTTCGGATACGTTGTCGTTGTTAGCACTAGAAAACCAGGGTCAGTAACACATGTTATGAAGGCTTGTAAACTGCCGATAGAATATGTGCTGTGTGACTGATGCATCCTTTCTGGATACCTTGCATTTCTTACCATCGCGATCTTTCTCTGGGTGGTTGGTCAACAGAGAATGAGCGCAATAGTTTCCAGCTAGATAGCCCGTTAGAGGGAGAAGAAAATCTTTCCACTTGTGATCAAGACAACTGACGAACTCTAAGAGAGTACAGTGTACCTTCCCATACATGGATCTTCACTGGCGGCTCCAGAATCCAAGCTTCAATTCACTCCCACTACCTCCAGCATCCTTGCTGGTTCAATTTCTTGACGAAAAAAAAAAAATTCAAAAAAAAAAATGCAAGACACTTCTTCCAGTCAACCAAAGCTTCCTACAAAAACAGATACATTTATAAAAAAATGTACTCGTAGTATTCAAAAACCAAAACTCTAAATTCTCAAAAAAAATCGAAAAAAACACAAAAAAATCAAGAAAAAAAAAAAAAGAAAAAGAAAAAAAGAAAGTAAAAAAAAAGGTTTGTTCTTTTTTGGTTTGAGATCTCCTGAGCATACATATTCCACAATTCCCATAAACCGTTCTGCCATTGATTAGCTTCTTCTTTCAACAGACAATTGTACCAACAGAATCCAAGCATAAACATTTCAATTGAATCATGATAAGAAAAAAAAACTGGTTGAGCGGAGCCCTTTTTTCCCCTTTTTGTTGATTGTAGATAGCCCATCTTTCAACTTTCTTGATTCCTTTATCCATTCTACCTTACAACAATTTTTTTTTTGGACATGGACACTTCTTGGCCATGATGCCTAACCTTTCTCCACTTGATTTCCTCCCCCCCCCTCCTGCAATCTGAATGCAGAGAGTTTTACAATATGATGTACATACCACTTTGTTTTTCTCTTATTACTTGACCACATTCTACATCTCCCATCGTTGAATCTGCGGGCCATTTTCATTCTTGTCTTTTTTATCTTCATAGCACATTGACATTCCTAAGCCTCAACTGGTTCCAATCCGACCCATCCAACCCTATTCAGATATCTCTTCTCATCATCATTTTGACCAAGAACATTTGAAATATTTATGAAACTATTTATGCTTGTACTTTTAGGAACTCATTCATGCAAACATATATCTCCTTTGTCTCCAGCTATGCTTAATTGTACTGGTATTTTTTCTTTTTGGCCAAAAAACTCTTTTTTGAGAATTGCTAAGAATCATTTTGGACTATTCTGGAATTTGGTTATCTAGGAGCAGCAATTTATTTATTTATTATTTTGATTTGATCAATGTAAGAGCATCCGCATTGGTTGAACGGATTAGTGAGGATTGGCGAGCTCTTTAATCCCAGGATTAGTGGGGTATAAATTTAATCCCCGTTAGCTCCAAAACTGACCCTGGAGCTCACTTAATCCAACCTCTAATCCCCACCGATATGGTTGGGAGGATTAGATTAGGCAACTAATCCTACCTAATCCGCACACCGATGCGGATGCTCAATGTAACCTATTTAAATTGAAGACAAATTAATATTGGGGCTTGCGGTTTCTAAAGGTTCATCTGGACCTAGCGGTATTTTTTTTGTTTTTGTGTTTTGCAGCGCAGCCTCAATGTCAGATCAATTGGTCTTACAAAGTCGACAAGGTATGAGACGCCCCCAAAAAATGATGAGAAAAGCATGACAAAGAAAGATATAAAATAAAGCATCAATATATATCTCAAAATCCCATCCCAAGACTAATCCCACCCCCGAATTTCTCCAACTGATTCTCAGCCAATTTACGTCTTTCGGCCATAGTTTTAAATTCACTAGATTGCCAATGAAGGTCCATGAGAGCTTTTTGGGTGGAGAATTGACTAGAGAGATGGGAGGCTAACATGCCCGAGTTTCGGGTCGATCGAAGCTTAGCGATCTAGAGATCCCACCCAACACGAGAAAATGTAAGTTTTTCTTCAATTTCTTTTTTTTTTTTTACAAGGAGAAGAGAGGGGGAGGTGGGCATATTTTAGAGATTATTAAGAAGACACTTACTTCCTGGGCCAATCCGGGACAAACATCGACCATTCTCTGGGCGCGTTCAAAATCTTTATCAACCAAGATAGGTGGCGGTGGCGGAGGTCCTTGACCGACGAGCGCAGAAGGATTATTTGTGGGCGGATAACCAGGGGTCGTCGAATAGCCAACAAAATTCTTAGGGCTGGGGTAGTTGTTCACTCTGAACTGTTGGCCGGGGGCCGTGGCGGAGCCGGTGGCGGCGAGGGACGGGCTCGCAGAGCTATGGAAACCGTTTGAGGGGTGCCCACTTGTCGTTCCAGGCCCACTGAACTCGTTGCGGAGGGAAGAGGTGCTCGGGCCAGCAGTGCTGGTTACCTTGGCATGGGTGCCGCTAATCGGAGAGGGCGACGATGACGCGAGCTGTGGATTCATGCCGGACTTACTGAAATTGACTGTCGGCGAAAGACTACCCGATGGTAGTAAACCTTTCGGCGTCATTGAGCCCGACTGGGGCACCGAGTTGAGGTTGAGCACCGGCGCCTGGGCAGGTTTCAGATGGTTAGGTGGTGGTGGGGGCGGCGCTGGAGGTGGTATGGTAATGGGAATGGAGAGGGGAAGGGGAGATTTGAATACCTCCGAGGCGGGTGTGTTCAAAGTTGGGCCACTGATCAATCCGCTTCTAGTGTGTGTGGGTGTATGCTTATCAGACGATGCCTTGGGGTGTAGTGGATTGGGGTGAGTTTTCGGCGAAATACCTTCACGTGTGGCGGCGCGCTCTGGAACAAAGCTACCATCGTGAGGGTCAGCATGAGAGTGCTTGGTAGGCTCTTTGGCTGAAGAATTGCTCGGAGGGCCGTTTCCAGGAACACCAGCAGCAACTGGAATTTTCTGAGACGACCACGAGCGCGGTCCTGCCGGGAGGTTAGTACGCGACCCAGCGGAGGTAGCATTGAGTGGAGCTCTGTAAGAAGCCGGACTGCCTGGAGTGCCCCGTGAACTGTGATGAGAACTAGAACCGGTATACGAACTGCGGTGGTAGGAATAGTCATGACTCCGCGGGACAGATGGGGTAAGATTTGAATGGTACTTCTGAGGTGGTGGTGGGATCGATTCTTTAGTGATATCACTTTTTGTGAGTTCAGCCTTATTGGATTTATGGTCCTCACGGGCCGCCTGAGGATTAGACAATTTCCTTTGGGACGAGTGAGTTGAAACAGCTGGGTGATCTTGGGGCAAAGGAAAAGATTCTAACTTTGCCCTCTTGTGATGTCTTTCATTTGTTAATTGTTCCTCTGCCGGTCTGGTAGGGGTAGACCGATTGATCCCAGTTGGGCGGGATATGGATGGAGGAGGGCCCGAATTGGCATCAACACTGGCGCGGGGTTTTCCCGGACCTGAGCTGACGATAACATGATCTGGTTTCAAATCTGACGAAGCTGGTTGGGGAGAGTCACTCGCAGACTCGATGGGCGTAACGATGGATAGGCACTGGGTGCTTGATATGCTTTCTCTTGGTTTGATCTCCAACGGCGAGCGATGATCGGTCCCATCTGCGGAGGAACCCTTCTTGATGGAGATGAGATGGTTCGCTTCATCGGTAAGCCCAAGAGCTGATCCGGTAAGCTGCAGTTCGGAAGTTTGATGCTGCACTTGAAGTTTAAAACCATCAATTGAAGCAGATGCAGTTGCAGATGGTGGTGAGGTTGTATCGACGGTCCCTGCTTCTTCTCGAGGATTAGAACTTTGGGCTGGGGGCTTATGAGATGAAGGTAATTTAGATGACGAAGATGGGGGGGCGGCTTTAGACAGCGAGATTGGGGGTACTTGAGTAGGCCCTGGGTTTGAGGGTGGAGAACAAGATCGTGATCGAACTTTTGTAATGGACGGAGGGATTAGGGGTGGAGGTGGTTGCGACGTTCCTCTGACAGAGGGTTGACTCGATTGATTGGATGGATGGACAAGGGCAGGTTTTACTCGGGATGAAGAACCAATTTGGGGTGATGGGGGATGATAATGTAGTTTGACGGGTGAACGTGAGCGGGATGGTGAGCGGGAACGGGAATATGGTCGAAGACGACGCGGGGAGCGACCAGGAGGATACGTAGGTAAGAATTGATGACTGATAGGAGAACGGGATCGGGAAGACGAGACCGGGCGTAATCGAGGTGGAGGGGGTGGTGGCTGTATAGGAATCCTGCGGCTTGGTGAGGAAGAAGGACGATGTCTGGGTGGGGTGGGTGTGCGTCGCGGAAGAGCTGTGAGACAATCGGAAGAAAAACATCATAAGCATAACAAGCAATCCTGAGGTGAGAGTCGACTGTAGCAGAATAGCATTGATACTGACGGCCTGCGTTATGCCAGTCATCTCTCCTCCGCCGATCGTAATCTTCGTCACGCAGACTAGCCCGACGTGGCTCGTATCTGTCGAAATCCCGCCGATCCATGAAAGCCATTCCGCGGCTTCGCTCGTACTCGTATTCGTGAGCATCGCGTCTGTCCCGACTATCTCTTCGCTCATAGACATACCCACTTGGCGGGCCGAGCGGAGGTGGAGGAGAGTATCGACGGCGAAGGTCGACTGGTGGGGGGCCAAGTCTCGGTGGGCTTCGACTGTGCCGCCTTGGTCTTTCTCGCTCCCGATCAAGGCTAGCTCGAGGTAGCAAGGGTGGGGGTGGGGGTGGTAAGGGGGGCAGTCGACCGTGAGCACGATCGAGATCCCGATCCCAATCCCTCTCTCGCTCTCTGTCTCTTGGCCGAATCCGTTCCCTGTCTCGGTCTCGCTCTCTTTCTCTATCTCTTTCCCGATCTCTATCTCGTTCTCTATCGATTCTTTCCTGTTCGCGCTCCCTGTCTATTCGATCTCTTTCTCTTTCTCTGTCCCTATCCCTGATGCCATGATCCCGGTCTCTTTCTTTTTCCCTGTCTCGGTCCCGTAACCTGTCCCGTTCTCGCTGATCCCGCTCTCTCTCTCGGTCTCGGTCTCGGTCTCGTTCTCGTTCTCTTTCCCGGTCCCCCCGCTCTCGATCTCGATCTCTGTCCCTATCTCTCTCCCGATCTCGTAGACGATCCCGTTCTCGGAGTCTATCTCGCTCATCAAGGTATCTAGTCCGATCTCGCTCCCTGTCTCGTTCGTGTTCGATCTCATACTCTCGTCGCAACTCTTCTCTTGTATCCAGCGCTCTCCTGGAGCTACTGACAGGGGGCCTTATCCGTTCTTCATATTCAGGGTTGTAGGACAGTTTAGGGCGGGCGGGAAGGAGAACTGGTTGGGTTTGAGGACTCTTGGGAGGGGGAGGTGGGGGTGGAGGCAGGGCTGGAGTAGCCGATGAGGGTGGTGGTGGTGGCGGTGGTGGTGGGTGTGAGGTTGTGGAATCGGGCATATCTGGTTGAGGAAAGAGGAAAGTGGTAAGCTGAGGGGTGACTGCTGACCAATTACCACCAGGCAGGCCTCGATCGAATCAAGCAAATTATTAGGAGCGCGTCTGTCACACACCTCACACAGATATATCACAGCTATGTCGCAGCGATCTCGGTTCGAAATGTGGCACCTTTCACACTTCACTTTCATCAGCAGGGTCAGTCTGGAGATGTCTTAACAAAAACAAATGACAAGCAAGATCTATTCTCAGAATGCCAGCCTAACCTTCCACTCGCATTCTCTTCTCTTCTACCATTTCATTAGAAATTTTTAAAGCCCCTCTCCTTTTCATTCACAGTCAAACTTACAATACCCCCTAACTCAGTCAAGGCCCTCTGAATTCAGAGGGATGGCAGAGAGGAAGGGGGCAAATGAGGGGCTCATGCTTTAAGTCAACCCCACAGACCTAGAGACTTAAGAGAAATGAACATCTCCTTCCTTTCCTTTTGCTTGTCCTCATCTCTCACTGACTGAAAATTTGTCTAACAAAAGATGTGAAAGCCCACGGAGAACAATTACATGTTCCTATTGTTTTGTGAGGGTCTTGAGAGATATGTACTCAACTGCCTCTTTTGCAAATTCTGTCTGATATTAAATCATTTGACTTCAGTCTTCAAGATGTATCACACACCATTTGAATACCGTGTCATCTTAATTTCTTGATGTTACAGCCATCATTGCAAATTGAGGAGACAGATGAAAGATAATTTCAAATAGTATATTAAAAGTTTAACTATTAAACCAATCACCCCTCATCTGCCCCCCTACCCAACCCCCGAATCTGCTCCCTTTTTTACATTCTCCCTTCCCCTTCCCCCACACTTTATTTCTTATCAGATTTTTATCCGGATTGATGACTCAATGGTGATAATGCCAAACAAGAGCCAACCAATGCCCCATATACCCCCACTCAACGCCTCTCTTTTATATCCTACTGAAAATCCTCTGTTTGGCCAACTTTCCCTCAAACCCAATGTCCTGCCTTTTCCGCTCTCCTACATTTCCACCACAGCCTTGTAAGTATCCTTTTCCATTGTCATTGTTCTTCCCTTCTCTAATTACCTTAAGCAACCTCTAGCCCCTCTACTCTTCCTTACCTGGCACCTGACTCTGCTAGAAATATGCCTTCCAGTTGTCTTTTTTCAGGAGATAGACCTCATCTTTGTTTGAAATCTCACCACCTAAACACGCATTTTTTACATACAAATAATCTATCTCTTTTCCTTGCCCCCACTCAGCTATAATTCTTCATCTTCCATCTAATCCATCCAAAATGTACTTCCTTGATGGCTCAATCCGTGCATCTTGCCTTTCTCTTTTTTTCCCATAGCACTAATCACTACACCGTCTTCTGTGCACCTCAACAAGTTATGCCTTAATTCAAGTCAACATTTATTGATTTGGGCCAAATACTTGTCTTTTATGATGGTCAAGAAGGTGGATATGTAGGGCTATTAGTAATGAAAACTGTTGGGTTAACAATTTTGGGGTCCGAGGAGGTGCAGCCGCCATGAAACCTAAGTAAATAATAAATGGGTAAAGGAGGGAAGAGAGCATTCACACAAATCCAAACAAGAAAAAAAATCATTCAGAGAGATTTCAAGTTGAAGTACCCACCAAAATCTTTAATCCTCTAGGGCTGTGGGATTGACTTAGCACTCTCAAGTCCCTTGTTTGGAGGTTCCCTGCAGTACAGCCCCCCTTTTTCAGACATGATTGTTTTAAGTTAGTAAAATATTCATCTTACATTGTTGAATTTAAAAATATAGCCTGACCTTTTATCAAAAATCATATTACTTGTTTTTATGATTGACTTTTTGAATTAGGGTCCCAGCCCAGACCCTCAAAATATGGTGTAACCCACTCAACTCACAGACCGGATCAGGGTTTGGGATTGGCTGTGGCAGATCCAGCATCCGGTTGGATGCTGAAAACCCTGAAATCTTGATGTTTTTGATGGGGAATCTCCTGGTGCACCCCAGACAGTGGCTGTGGTTCAATGTGACTTTGTTTTCTTGGGCCTTCTTTTGATGTATTATAGCAAAAAATGCATAAAAGATAATATGTAAAAGTATCAGAAGAACCTGGGGTGGGGGCAGGGTCAGGGTGGGGGATTAGTCAAATCCAGATCTAAATTCTAATGCACCAGGTCAGAACCCTAGTTTGAATGCTGACCCTTCCCATTGAATCTGTTCTGACAATTTATTCAGAGCTTTCAAATACTGAGCTTAGTCCTAGATTTAAATTCAGATCTGATTTCAGCCCCTCCAAAATCTTTTAAGATTCCCGAGCTCAGAGATTTCAGAGGAGATATTCACAAAATGTAGAGCTAATCACTGCTAATTACTTTGACATTTTCCTCGGTTGTGTTGAAGTTTGTGTGTTACTTTGACCAAACTCTGCATTCTTAAAATTGCTTGTGGATGCTGAGTACTGGTAAACTTGTTCTTACAAATTCTCATCATGAAGCCTGTGATTTTGTCCCAAAATTGAAAAACCCAGTCTATCCTCATCAGGCAGTGCATTTTTAATTTGGATATATGTTAAGAGGAAGTCCCCAAATCTAAGTGGAACAAATTGAAGAGAGAAAATGGTTTTTTAATTTTTTTACTCTGCGCCTCACTGACGTATTTGTGCAGTTTTTGAAATGTAAATGCCATAGGAACAATTGGAGATAATCAATCAAAAATTGACAAAGTAGTGCTCTCAAGAAGATATTTGATTGAGTTTGGTTACTGTGGTATGTGCAACAGGAATACGGACCACAGACTCACCTTGCAGCCAGTTTTCCGTCAAGATACAGTGCCCCTCACCACCTCTCCACCACCCCGCGCCTGCAAAAAAAAAGTTCAACTTTGAAGTCTGAGTACACTGACCCATGTGCCTCAATGGGCATGTACCACACATTTCTGAGGCCTACGGGAGTAGGGAAAATTGAATTTGTCACCCACAACTTGCTACTGTACCTCAAAAAAAAGTTTTCAATTTTTGAGCATCAAACTTTTGAACACCATGTCCAAGCCCACCCTGGACCACATGGTATGGCTTTAGGAAGCCATAATATGTATATAGGGAGACATAATATGTATATAGGGGGCACAATATGCATTTAAAGAGTATGTGAATTGTAAACACATACCCAAGTACATGCAGTTCCCCCATCCTCCTCCAAGATGGATTGATCAATTGAATCTTCTTTGTCAATTTAACTGGTAAAAGTGCTTCCCTCTTTCTTTGGAGCTTCTGGGAGCAAGAATCTTTGCCAATAACCATTGAATATACTGATTCTGGTTTCAAAATTGGAGTGCAAGAGACTTTTTCATGTCTTTTTTTGTACAGAAGCCTCCAAGACCCCCGAGAAACCCCCCGGGATTTTGAAATTTTTTCAAATTTTCAAACCCAAAACTTTGGAACACCTTGGAGGGGGTGGTGGAGAGGTGGTGAGGGGCACTGTAGCTGTCTGCAGTAAATTTTCATCAACACTGACTCTCTCGGCTCCCTCGTTCAGATTGCTGTGATGGCCTCAGGCTGGAAATCAACATGGATTGAATTAAAGTGAGCCGCAGTCATTCCTGCAAAGGATTCAACTTGTAACGCACTGTCACTGATTCAAGTCACATAGAAGATTTGGCTTGATTTGCGATTTCTTTATTACCCAAGATAAATCGGTTTCCTTGTCTAAACTTCTGTAAAAGTGTTTACAGCTATATACAGCTCCATCAGTGAGGTGTAGTTTCGGAGACCTGCGCATCAAGGGTGTCAGATATAAATAGATCTAGGTGCAGCTTGTTCCACGACGAACTATTCATTGTTCAAGCTGCAGTCATTTTCCCCTTTCTACGAAAATCTATTTGAGCTATTTGCTTGAAAAGTGCTGGAAGACATGAAAAAAGTCTGGAAACTTGCTTTTATACTGGCCTGGGTTCAACTCCACAGCCTCTCTGCATCCGAGAGTCCGCAGAATGCTGAGTCGCTTGCGTTTAAAACCAATGATATGGCCAGGATTTTTGGAGAGAACGCCTCCTCCGAACAAGACAAAAGCAGCCTATTCGACGTGCCTACTGTGACTTCACTAGAATCCTCACGGGACCTCAACTCTCCTCAAGGGGCTGGTCAACCCCGGCGATCAAGAGGAAGGCCGAGGAAAAATCCGATTGGTCAGTCTTGTCTTCTTGTCGATCCTCTGCCACCTATGAGGGACGCAAAGTCATTTATACAAAAATCTAACCATTAGATGTGTATTCTCTATCTGGACATGCATATTCCAGGTGATACCCAGTCGGCTCCAAAGCGTAAACGAGTTGGCCAGGATCTAAATATAGCTTCCCTGGATGTGCCAGGGAAACGAGAACATGGCATCATCTCACTTGATTCATCAAGTTCTGGATCTCATGGATTGTACCCCGGTGGTCAGTATACTTGCATCATCTTTAGGACCGTGTGGAAAGGCTTGATGACAAGCTTAACTTCTTTGATATAGAATCAACTCTAGTACCAACTGCCTCACTACAATTCAATGTCGATCCTTCTTTTGAAAGCAGTGGCCAAGGAAGAAGTCACATTGCCTCAGACTACCAGCAAAGCATCAGTCCACACTCCAGTGGGATTATAGAAGGTCAACAAGAATATGTCCACAGGATCGAAGCAACCACCAGTAGTGTGCCTCCTGGGTTCGGTGGGGCTTGGAATATCCCCTTTGGGTCTTCCAATGCGGCAGGGCAAGCACTTCAGGCTCCCGCCATGCTGCCACCCACATCCACCCATGGCCACAATACCAATTTTGGTTCGGTTCGTAATGCAGTCCAACCAGGAACTCACTTATCTAACACAGGCGGTCCAATTCGAAAAATGTATAGCGTTATTTGGAATTTTTACAATGTGGTCAGGGAGGGTAGGTTTTTGGTTGTTTGACTAATTTATCTGCCTCCCTTTATTTACTCACAATTTGACAATGTATGTTATCAAATTATACTTTTCTATTGACGGATTTTCAGGTGATGAAATAAAAGCCGAGTGTAAATACTGCAAAGAAAAACTGGTTGGAAGAAGCACTGCTGGTACGAGTCATCTCTATCGCCATACTAATTACTGTCTCTTGCAAATAATTTCAAAGATGGATGGGGAAGGAAGATTGAATATGGACAAGAGTTTAAACAATGAAAATAGAGGATCACACTTTCAAAATCAAATTTCGCGCGAACTATTCACCAAAATGTTCATTATCCATGAATACCCCTTGCAGATGATTGGGCATGGCTTCTTTCGTCAATTTATTGCTTCGCTCCAACCTGAATTCAAGATCGGAGATGAAAATGAATTTAAAACAGATTGCATGTTGCTTTACAACAAAATGAAGACTCAGGTCCTTGCTGAGATATCACAAATTCATAAAATTGCTTTAACTGTCAATATCTCAAAATCAAATGGCAAGGAAAGGTACATGTTGGTCTCTGCTCATTATTTGGACAACTCATGGTCTGTAGTGAGGAGGGTGATAGGATTCAAGCCACTCCCAATGAGTCATAGTGGTCTTGAAATAGCAAAACAATTATTCCAAACACTCAAGGAATGGAGCTGTTTAGACAAGTTTGAATTTATCACATTGGAAAGCTCTCCCTCGACTGATGTTGCTATCAAGGAATTGCAAGAACTGATCAGCAAACAAAACAATAAACCCATTGGCACAGGGGGAATCAATCTTCACATACAATGTGCATCTCACACTATAAACATGATGGTGGAATGTATTCTGATTATATTCAATATAAATCTTACAAAACTCAGAGCTAGCATAAAATATGTTGAATGGACTTCAGAAGGCAAACAAGTCTTTGAAGAGGCCATCAAAGCCTTGAATCTTGAATCTAAAGAGAAGTCTAAATACAATGTGCTGAATGACTGGAGCTCAACATATCTACTGATTGATTCATCACTTTCAGTCAGGTCTGCATTTGAGAATTTGAGGATGACTGACCCACAATTCACAAATTTTCCAGATGTTAATGAATGGATTGAGCTCAAAATTGCATTAGATCTTTTGAAAGTGTTCAAAAAAGGTATTTTGATATTGATTGATATTTATTGCTTGATTTATAAACTGATTTATTTTTGATTGTTCTTAAAGCTCTTCTGGATTTAGCAGATTCAAAAAACTCAACTTCAGCAAAATTGTTCAAGTTAATGACAAGGATTAAGAGAGAAATTCTCAGGAAAGAAATTGAAAAAACTGTGACTCTTTCCTTGATGGCCAAAACAATCAGGAACACATTTAAAAATTATTGGAAGGAGATGGAGGCATTTGCTGAAATGTGTCTAGTGATGGACCCACAATCCAAATTAGACTTCTTGGAATTTTCTTTTTACTCAGATGATAAGATGAGCCAAGAAGAAATTGAAACAAGAATTAAAGCCATCAAGAATTCATTATATGATTACTATTTGAGATTTTCACAATCCAATCGGGGTACAAGTCAAACCAAAGAAACTGAAATCCAGCCAGATATGGATCAAGATGATGAAGAAACAAAATTCAAGAGATTCCTTGCAAGAAAAAGACAGAAGCAACAGGCAGAACTGAATTCAGAGTTGGATGTCTACCTCCAGGAGCCCATCATTGACCTAAAGAACTCTAACATCATGGATTGGTGGAAGTCAAACTCTGGAAAGTTTCCAAATCTATCTAAGATGGCAATGAATCTTCTCATGGTTCCAATGAGCTCTGTGACACTGGATTCAAATTTCTTGACTGGTGAAAGGTTTTTGGATAAACTGGACATCAAAGATGATCCAGCTATAGCTGAAGCACTGATCTGTACTCAAGACTGGTTAAAACAACAAACACTTTGATCAGTTTAGTTATCTTGATCTCCAATTTTCACGAACCTTACAGAATATAGTCAAACTCCAATGAGTGAGGTTCTTTAATTTAAAGATGTTCAAACAAGCTTAATTGAAAATTTTGATATAACTGTTTCCTAATTCTCTTTCTCAATTCTTAATCACAAGTTCAAAATTCAATTCTTGGGAAAACATGGTGTGGTGGTAAACATATTAAGCCATATATGTGGAATCTGGATTGCTACACTGTAGCACTGGGCTGCTGTCCTTGCCACCCAGAGTAGTGGCAATTCGTTGTTCCCCTATGCCATGGTAGTTAGTGCACAGCAAAGTGTAGAAAATCATAACTATATTGCACAATTGAATGTTTCTTGCATGAGAGATGTCACACTTTGATTTGATTTTATTAGTATAGGGATCAAAAGAGAACCAAAAGATAGATAGATAGATCCAAGTATTTTCAGCTTGAAATATAGATTCATTAAGGGAAAAAAGAATTGAGATAAACAATGAACCAACCAGAAACAAAGTGGGCATTATAAGCTCATAACTTGTGGGGAACTTATAACCTGTCCTACAAGGAAACTGTAGCATGCAAGGCTTTGGGGGAGTCATCAAAGCTAAAATCCAATCAAAAGCAAATACAGATTGATGGAAAAGAAGATAATTCTAGTAGCTGATCAAATCCAGACCCAGGATCTAAAGCTCTGTTGGCTCTTTGATAGCTAAATCTGGAGGATGAAAAATGTGGCTGATGAAGTGGTGCAAAAGGTGGAAGAATCCTCAGTTTATGACTTGATGCCAAATTTCTGATGGATGCTATAGAATCAATCGGATCAAGTATGCATAATGTATCCTCCAGAGCTGATCAATGCAAGACCGTAATCCAGTGGCTCAGATCAAGATCAAAAAACAATGACAATTTTGTGGCAGTGCATGTGTCTGTCTTTTCCAATAAGCTCAAAAACAAAACAAGAAAAAACCTTCATTGCAATTCAAAATTCACTTTTTTTTTGGTTATTGTATATACACAGGGTCAGATTTTTTTTGGATCATAGAAAGTCAAACAAAAATATGAGCGTTCAAACTGTAGAAAGACTTATGATTTGAAGTTATTTTGATCATGAGAAAGATTGGAAAAACCAAAACCAAAAGAAGCACTAGTAAGTTTTCTAATTTCTTGAAGTGTTATCATTGTCACTTTTTTGGTATACATATGTTATGTAATCAGTTCTTGTTAACAAAGATATCTAAAATAACAAGAAACTCAAAACAAAAAGATAAACCAAGGTGAATCATCAATGGTCACAACATACTCAACCACAAAAAAAAAACAATTTCATGTTTTAACGTTTTCTCGAAAAAGAAAGAAAAAGGTGAATTAATGTCATCCCAGATAGAAAGAAAGAAATAAAGAATCGACCAATTGTTTATGATAATCATTATTAATGTTGTTTTTTTTTGTATTACTGAAGAAAGCAGCAGTGGGAAGTCAAAGAGAAGAAGAAGGAAAAGAAAAAAAAGGAGGGGGGAGGAAGTGATCACATATATCGGGGTACTTTTTCACCGCTCTCGAGTTCGATCAAGTCTTCGGGCCGTTTACGCTTCGGATTATCGCGATGAGAGTTAGAATGAGCGGCAAGATGTTGATTGGGCTGGTTAAGAGGATGAGGGGTCTGGGGGTTATTGAGATGATGAGGCGGTCTACGGTTGTAAGCGTTCAAATGATTATGGTGATTCCCGACTGGTCTTTGAAAGTTCGAAGACAAGTTCGGATGGGGATGTTTTTGATGTTGGTTGAATTGGGGGATCTGGTTGACTTGTTTCATCCCTAAGCCTCCGCCGACTTGGTTCGGATGGTGGCCGTGGAGTCCGTTCGAGGGGAAACCGAGCGGATGGGCTCCACCAAAGTTAGCCATCCCAAACGGGCCGAAGGAGGTGTTCTGGTTGAAGTCTTGCTGTTGCTGGCGATGGTGGACTCCGAGCGAGTTGCCGAAAGGATGGTTCATCAGCATCCCGTTCCCGGCGGCCATATGCATGTTGTTCATCATGCCGTGATCCATCATGTGGTTGACCGGCCCGACTCCCGCGCCCATTTGTTGGACCATCGCCAGCTGCTGTTGGAGGTTCTGTTGCTGCATGAGGAGTTGCATCCGGATCGGCTCGCTCAGTTGAGGGTTCTGGAGCATCATCATCACCTGGTTCAGTTGCACGCCCAGCATCGCCTCCGGTCCGGCCCCGTTGCCGAGCTCCATCGCCATCCCGTTCCCAGCATGCATCGGGCCCCCGAAGCCGATCTGATTCGAGTTCATCACCACGTTATGCCCCGCGCCACCCATCCCATTCATCATCATCGGCTCCATCATCTTCCCCATCATCATCCCGTTACCCATGTAGCCCATCCCCATCCCATTCATCCCCATCCCGTGCATCATCGGCATGTTTCCACCAGCCCCGTTGAGTGCCATCCCAGGTCCCAGTCCAAACCTTCCAAACTCCTTGTTCCCGAACTCCATCATCCCATTCATCATGTTGGGGGTGTGAGATGCGCCTGCTGATCCTGGTCCGGCCGATCGTGTGTTCTTGGCTTCAGTAGGTGATAGCTTGGCGACTTCAGTAGAAATGGTGACTTGTGGCTTTTGGAATTTCCACACGAGCGAGTGAGATCGAGAAAAATAGATCATCAGGACCTCTTTTATCAAACAGATTTGTGATTATAATCAGGGCACGAGAAAAAAAATAATCTCACAGCCTCTTTACCACTAGATGGATTAGCATTGGATTGGTCCGATTTCTCGGCCGATGTCGCTTTGGAATCATCCTTCGGTTGAGCGACTTGAGGAGTGCCAGCAGTGGCGGGATCTGAGGGAGAGGTCTCTTCGGGCTTCGTAGCTTGATGATCGGGTTCATCTTCTTGTTTGGAATCGGATGGAGTTTCTTGAGCTTCCGGTCCAGATTTCGAAGCAGTCTCAGCGGCTGTTTGATCCTCGTTCGATTTGACTTGTTCCAATTGAGCAGCTTGACTAATTTTTAGGATCTCTTGAATATAATCATCACTTCGTTTCCTTCGCTCGTCATCGATTATAAAAGCTTTATTGTTATTAGGAGGATTGGTGGATGAGGATGATGAAGAAGAAGCTGGGTTGAAAGATACTTTGGTCTCACACTCCGGACAAACTGAAGAATGTGACTTTAAATAATTACTGATACAACTTTCACAAAAACTTGAACTACAACAGATCATCTTCACTGAATTCTTTAATAACTTCGAACATATTGAACATACTAAGTCTGGATCTGACGGTCTTTGATTTTCAATATCTGCTGCCGAAAGGTTCTTGACGACAACCGATTTATGCTGTTTCCACGTCGCACTGAAATTGAGCATTAGAAAGAGATCAGTTGCATGTTGGCCGACCAATATCGGAGTCTTCAATACATTGTCAGCTGCCTTTTTCGGCATAATAATTGCCACTCTTTTTACAGACAAAGGAAGGACCAAGTTGGAGGTGGTGTTGGGCCGAGATGGCAAAAAGAATGTGCTCAACTTGTCAGGTTTGGCGATAACGAAGCTACCGTCAGAAGTGACCATGACGTTTTGGCCATCGACCGGCTTGCCACTTTCGACTTTCTGCAAAAAGCTTTTCGGGATCCCAGTGGTGCGTTTAATCCTTGGACGACCCTCGAAATCCGGATTATCGTTGGTTGGACATGCTTGGATCCAGTGTCCTATTGCAAAAAAATAGATCGACATAAAGATCAGTATCTATGGTTATCGATCGAGATTTGAAAATCAGAATATCTTGTCGATATTCGTTTGGAAGGAATGGGCGATCAAGGGAAATAGCGCTATAGCCCATGTTGGGGATAATCTTGAGGCGTGACAGAATGCAAGGATAACCAAGAGTAGTCTGAATACCCGATTAACAAAGAGAGGAGAGCAACTCTGACCTTTCTGCCCGCATCGGTAGCAGATATAGCCTTGAGGAGGGGGAGCTTGAGAGTGAAGCTGGCCTTGACCATTATGGCTATTGATGTTGCTAGTGGCAGAATTTGGATTGGTAGATGATCCCGGTCCACTAGGTCCATTATGACTACCATTCTCTCTAGCTTTGTTGAGCCGATGCTGGCCACCGCCACGATCACGGAAGCTCATATTCCTGCCTACTCGAGTTGCACTGACAGATTAGCATTTCCAGAATATCAAAAAAATCGGGTGAGATTGGGAGTTATGGTCAGAAAAGGGGGAGAGAAGAAACGGAAAGTCAGAATCAAGAAAAATTGAGTTTCCCAAACCAGTTTGTTGTTTGATTGCGCAGGATCGTTTCGGGTTAACATACACACAGGAAGTGGTATGAGTGTTGGGAAGCAACGAGTTTATAAAAGAACGTTTTGTTAAACAGTTTGAATTGAATGATGAAAGAATCCGAGATCGCAGTTCATCGAATATAGTTTGGTCGAAGATGACGGAAAGCAACACATGCGGAGAGGGTTTTTTGTTATGAGACAAGCAGAAAAGCGAAATAAAAAAAGGAGAAAAAAAAAATTGATGAGCTAACATCCTAAAAAGACAGAAATAATCAAAAAAACACGGGTATTCATCCGGATCTTCAAATGGTCAACATAAGCTACAAGAGATTCTGAGAGTGGAAGAAACAATCTAATGTCTATGATCTTGTGGGATATCTAACAATGCCAACAAGAGAATTATAATAATTTTGCCGATAAGAGAAAATGATACATCACCCGGAAGCAGATACCTGTTTCTTTTTTGAAGAGAGCTGAATGGGATAGAAAAAAGGGGAAGAAGAAGAGAAGAAGATGGAGGGGAAGAGAGTCAAATTAATAATCAGAACGAACGTAGCCATCGTTTCTTGCGTCTTTTGCCACTGCTGGTCCTGTGCAGCAAACATAGCAGCCATGCTCTCTGCTTCCGAGTCGCGTTCACCGCCAGTCAAGACGGGTGTAACAGTCTGTGTGTTTAAGAGAAGGGGGAGAGGGAGAGATAGCAGGTTCAATCAGCAGTGGGAGGGGTTGTAGGTGATTGTGAAGGAGTGAGAAGTGCTTACGCTCGTTGGGGGAGTGTTGGAAGGGCTCTGGACTCGATTTCTGAAATCTTTTGAGATCGCCCCTCCCCCTCGCCAATCTACATGAGCAGTCAGAGGCGGATTGGTACGACTGTTGGAGCCAGTCAAATTAACCCCAACATACTGCTGCGCGTTGCCGTGTCCGGGTCTTTTGGGTGGTAAGCGACGGGCGATGACTGAGCTCGAGCGTGGAATGATTGCATGGTCATTGGCGTACTCTTGATAAAGTAGTAAAGCAACAAGGATGTAGATTAGTGATCTGTTCTTGATCTTCACCGTGAAATGAAGAGATCGATGTAAAATTGTTTCATCTCCATACCTTCGTCGGTGTCAGCGTTGTAGATAGCAAAGTCGAAGTCGGTGCCCTTTCCCATTTTACTCTCTTGGATGATTTCGCGTTTCAGGTCCCATACGGAGATTCCGATTCCCTCGAAGATGATTCTCTGGAACTCTTTCTGAGACTTGAAGCGATAGTAGACGTGACCAGACATGACTTTTTCCTGGGTTTATTTTCAATTGAGTTTGGATTTCAAGCTTGGAATGAGTGCTAGTATTAGTGCTTCTGGTGAGTGTACAGTTTGAGCTATATGACAATCTTGATGATCACAGTGGGGCGGATAGTACGCCAGACAGCTCGTTGATCGGTCAGCTTCGGATGAATAGTTGGTTGACTTGTAGTGTGTGATTGGTGCTTGTGCTGGTTGACTATTCTTACGAATTGGTTGAGAAGAGAGTGGATGGATGGATGGAGGAAGTGGATGAGGAAGACGGTCAACAGGAGAAAGGAGGGAGAGAGCAAGCGGAGGGGGCGAGTCAACTGGATGCAGGACAGACTGAGCTGAGACTGTGGTTGGGTAGAGAATAACAGAATGGGCTGGGTGTGGACACTCTATATCCGGATGCAGTGCAATACAGCACATAAAACAAAAACGGAGTTTGTTGTACAGGGGAAATGGCCCAATGGGTATCTATGTCCATACATCGCAATCCAGTTATAAGCATGTGTTTCCTTCAGTTGTCTAAAAGTTCTCAAGTTCTACAAATCAAGCAGCTTCAACCCAAATCAATGAAAAATAGACAATTATTTGAATGATCACAACCCTCAAAGTATTCCCTTTGTCAACAGACCATTACGTCTACTGATTCTCATTTTCTTAACAATCACAAGCCTGACTTGGTAATTGGTTTATTTTTTTTACCAATTTTACCCTTTTTGCACTCACCTTTATTTTCCATGATTGCAAGCTCGACTCTCACCAGGGACACATCTTCATTTTGTCTGTCTCTACATGTACTTGGTCTATGGGGGCAAGTTCTGTAGAGGATGCGGGAGTGTAAGAGACAGTTTCATCTACTTAAGGATTTTTATAGTTGGGGGACAGATTGGGTGCAACCATTTTTCAGGCTGATTCAAATTGGGTAACGGGTGTTGAAAGTGAAATTGGGGGTTTTTATAAAGGGGACAACTAATAAAGGGTTTGAAAGTGAAAATGGGGTGGTGTGTAGTTGTCCAAGATCGGAAGTGGTAGCGGCCAGGGGTTGGGTCTGCCGGGATTCGAACGCCGGACTCGTCACTCTCTTCGAAGTGATTATACTATGTCGTCGCAGGGGAGACACCGAGCTTCCGTGGGTGATGGTTACCGCTAGGCCATCCAGGCCCAAACGGAGTTTGTACAGGGGAAATGGTCCAATGGGTATCTATGTCCATACATCGCAATCCAGTTATAAGCATGTGTTTCCTTCAGTTGTCCAAAAGTTCTCAAGCTCTACAAATCAAGCAGCTTCAACCCAAATCAATGAAAAATAGACAATTATTTGAATGATCACAACCTGAAAGTGTTCCCTTTGTCAACAGACCATTACGTCTACTGATTCTCATTTCTTAAAAATCACATACCTGACTTGGTAATTGGTTTATTTTTTTTTTACTAATTTTCCCCTTTTTGCACTCACCTTTATTTTCCATGATTGCAAGCCCTTTTATCCAAAGGGAAAAAAAATCAGGACAGCTCAAACACACAGTGGCTCATGATATATCTGTGCCAACCTCAGGGCATCCTGCCGTTACAGGTTTAGCAGATTATAACCCAAATTGGTGCAACCAAATATAATCCATGATCACAGAAACATAATTGACTGTGATCATTAATTTTTCATTTTATCAGAGCATCCGTATCGGTGGCTAAATTCGCGCGAGCTAAGGACTTTAGCCGCGAAATTCAACCACACCGGGCTGAGCTAAACTCAAGCTAAAGTAGCTCGTGGCTACAATTTGAGCTAACCGTTGCTAGATCTAGCAACGGTTAGCTTGCAAGCAAAATATTGAGCAAAAGCTAGAATAGCCATACTACTCTTCGATATCTGCACCTCCACACCCTGTCTCCACTCCACCGACTATATCAACACACCACCGACTATATCAACACACCACCGACTATATCAACACACCACCGACTCTATTTGACACACCAACCTACGGAACAATGCCTTCCAAAAGAGGCCCAAATTGGCTCCCCCCCGACGACGAACAACTCGCGAAAAGCTGGCTGAAGATCTCAGAGGACGTTATCCGATCGACAGGCCAAAAAAAGGAGGAGTTTTGGAAGCGGGTTGCCGATGATTTCAACAAATTCTCTACCAGTGTTGCTAGAGAAGGGACCCATTGCATGCATCAGTAGGTTGTATTTTTGTTTTGTTCTGTTTAATATTTTGAAGTCCTGATTTTTTCTTTGCTCCTGTAGTTGGGGACACGTCCAGAAGTGGACTTTAAAGTTTTCCGGCATATATCGTAAACTGGAGAAGACACGTCCATCTGGCTCTGTGATGTCCGATCTTCTTCCTGATGCCAGAAAGGCTTTTTACGAGCAAGAAGGAAAGCAGTTCGCCTTTGAGCGAGCTTGGATGGTGCTCAAGGACTCGCCAAAGTGGAACGATGCTTCCGAATCTCGTGGCAGTGGCGGGGCTCAACCTTCCGAGCTACCGGTCTCCACTCCAACCCCATCTACCCCAACGAATCAAGCAAACCCGGCAACGATCCCTTCTCAATCAAGCGCACTCCCTCAGATGGGGTCCGATGGATCCTGGAAGCGACCACCGGGGGTTCATTCTACCAAACGAGCGATGAAAGAAGATCACTACAATGCAAAAAAGATCAAGATATTGTCAAACCGTTCGACCGATTACCGTGACCGCACACTAGCCATGAAGAAAACAAACGACATCCGAGATCGAGCTGCTGAAGCTGAGTTAAGGTCGAGCAACATGGAAATCATGTCTAAGAGAATAGAAGACTTACCAGACGACATCTCCCGAAAATATTTGGAGCTCCAGAAGGAGATTATCATGCACGACATCCGCGATCAAGTTGAGGAAAGAAGAAAGTTGGCTGCTGAAAAATCAAAAGGAATCAATCAGTCGGCTTCCTCTTCGAGTCATCAGGAGCCTCAGATCAATCAATCGGCTTCCTCTTCGAGTCATCCGGAGTCTCGGGACTCGGAGAACGAATCATCAGAAACTGAAGAGAATGAAGAAGTCGCTGAAGTCTATGAAGATGAAATCGATCCTACCCTTGATGATCTTGCCTAAAACTCTCTTTTTCTCTCACATTATTGTTGCTTATTTGCCTCAAGTCTCACCAATTTCACCAATTTCATGGCCTCATTTCTCACACCACAAAAGATTAAATTAAAAAAAAAAAGTCATGATTGTTTTTTTTTCAACTTGTATTTGTTCTCTAGTTACATGCAGTCAAGAGAAATACAAGAGGTTTCAGATCTAATTCCCCTGTATGTCCCTGGCCCCAAAACGAGCCCAATTGAGATCGATTAGATCGTTCGTAAGCCTCCGGTGTTGTGCACCCGATCGGAGTTCAATTGTACGGACTTGCTGGTCGTGAAAACTGTGTGGCTCACTCCGAGGTGGAACAAGAGAGACTGATGGGGGCAGTTCGAAGGTGTCGGTTGAATCCCGCTCGTTATCCTCCACAATCATGTTGTGGAGGATAACACATGTCCTCATGATAGATGACATGTCAGCAGGATTCCAGATCCTAGAAGGTGTAGTGATTATCAACCATCGGGCTTGTAAGACTCCGAATGCTCTTTCGATATCTTTTCGAAACGCTTCTTGCAATTTTTTGAAGTGCTGGGAGGGAGCATCCTGTGATACTCCTTTCGCTTTGATGAGAGTAGACCAATCCGGATAGATGCCATCGGTGAGGTAATAGGCATGGTCGTATTGGCGGCCGCAAACTTCAAACCTCACGTCCCAACCGGTCCCTGCAATCTGGTCCTCAAATATCGTTGATCGCTGGATGACATTGATGTCGTTCAGTGCCCCGGCAGTTCCAAAAAATGCATGCCAGATCCATAATCGTTGATCGGCGACGGCTTCTAAGACGACAGTCGGTTTCTTCTCTTTTCCTTTAAATTGACCGGCCATTGCACTCGGGCAGTTCTTCCATGCCCAGTGCATACAGTCCAAGCTCCCAATGCAGCCGGGAAACCCTCGAAGGTTGTTCACATCAAGAAGCCTAATCAAATCGTCGGCGTTCGGTTTTCGAAGATATCGGCTGCTGTATAGCCGGTTGATTGTATCGGTAAATGCCCTCAAAACCTTACGAGCAGTGGCTTCCCCAATTCGGCAGTATTCATCAGTAGCGTCCATCGCACATCCATACGCAAGCTGTCGAAGAGCAGATGTGATCTTCTGAAGGGCTGACAAGCCAAGCTTGCCCGTACAGTCCTAGGGAGGGGTCATTCATCAGAAATCAATGTGCACCTTAGAAGATAAAAAAAAAACTTACCGGTTTCTGAACAAAGTAAGGACAGGCTGACTCCACATCGCGGGCAATTCTCAAGAAGAGCTCCCTTCTGAGTCGAAATCGTCTCTTAAAGTCCTTGTCGTCATAAGTTGAATTTTCAATAAAGTAATCCTTCATGAGTTTTTCGTGTCCTTGGGCATGTCCTCTTTCTTTGTTTGGTCGGCGTCGTACTTCAGGCTTATCGATCTCCTCATCGCTTTCCAGGTCAAATTCTTCTAGGGAGTCTTCGTCTTCATCATATTCTGTGTCTGACTGGAACAATTCCTTGAGGAGGCGCCGTCGCTTTTCTTTATTGGTAAGGTTGACCATGATTAGTCGAGCTAGCTAGTATAGCTCAGAATTTGAGTCTCGACTGGTAATGTTGAAACAGCCGCGCTAACTGATTTTATAAAATTTCAAATTTTAGCCGCGAGCAAAACTCGCGACACCGGTAAAGATGCTCTCAAAGCTCCCATGATGTGACAACCTTTTTTCATCCCAAAAACTCAGAGCTGGACAAAAGTGCATGCTAAACTGTGAATGGAGGCCTCTGAACATGCCGGGCTTCTTTTTTTTTTTTGACACAAGAAAAACCTAGCTTAACATAACCCCCTCAATATTGGAGGTGTGTCAGGACCTTGCGAAGGGAGCTTGTGACTAAAGGCAGCTTTTTGGTATGAGAGCTTGGGACTTTTTGGTGGTGAAACACTTCCCTTATAAACTACTATCCAACCTTCCTCTTGAAAAATTTGATGCCCTGTTGAACCCAATAGAGTTGGATGGATCTTGCCTTCCACCCAAGAAAACCTGGACCTGCCCTTGGATTTCCATGACATCCAAAAAGCTTGGAAAACTTGATGATTTCTTGGATCTGGGTATATTCCTGTATTTGACTGTAGATGACCTGGATCCCAGGAATCATAAACTCTGAAAGGATTTTTAAATGTTTCAGGAAGCCCAGGATAGGCTCAAGCATTTTTAGATTTCAGACAAGATCCATGGGGCTCTAATAGACCAACAGGGTATCAAACTTTTCAGGAGGAAGGTGGGATGATAATGGAAGCAAGTCTGTTACCACCAAAATGCTGAAACCTCCCAAGCCAAATCCCTGACTTTGGGCCCAAGTCCCTCCTTTGGAGGCTTTCTTTTCAAGGTCTTGGTAAACTTCTAAGTTCTGATAAAGGGGCTTCTGTTAAGCTAGAAAAAAAACCATGAGTCTCATCAAAGGACAGCCATTCATGGCATAGCATTTATATGGTAATGATGATCTAAAGATCAATTAACAGTTCCTCTGCCTTTTGTTATTCACACGCATCCTAGAATTGAAATTTTAAAAGGGAAGAATTCCAGGTGAAAAGTTGAGCTCTTTTTTGCCAGTTAAAGATGTCTTCATGTGTTGGACTTTTCTTTGAAATGAGGGTGATCTTGAATAAATATGATCTTCCACAGAAAAGAGATATACAACGTAGGCAATTAGGATCAGAAGGGCTGATCCGTTGTGATCTTCCAGCAATACCGGATACCAAACAAGTGATGAAGGGAGTCGCCCGCTCCCCCGTGGTGCTCGAGTGCTCCCCCCGTCCGGTGCTCTCTTCTCCTCGCTGGTCGGCTCTGCTGGGACCTTCCCAACCTTAACTGCAAGCTTCCCTCGGCCAACTCATTCGTTTCACCTCCACCAACCACCATCCCTCTCGCTCCAAGACCACGACGAAAACAAAAGAACGCAACCAGTCTTGAATATGCCTACCTGGATCACTAGCCTCATCATATCATCAATCACCTTCACTGGCTCGGTCATCGCCCAGGCCGGTACTAATGCCACTACCCAACTTCGTGTGTATCCCTCTCTCTCTCTCTCTCTCCTTCATGACTAACAACTGAACCCCACGTCTATATCTTCATAGCCTCCAACCTTGCCAACTTACCCGGATTCGACTCGACCAATAATCTGACCACCGCATCTAACCATTCCTTGGCTGGATATAATACCACCGACAGCAACACCACCACCACTCACTCCAACCCGGGCGCGAACCTCCGGATCCCGACGACGATCTCTCAAAGCTGTCAAGACTTCCTCGGCCACCTGAATTCGAACCCGAACATCACCTCCTGCACCGCCCCACTGCTCAATGCGACTGCCTCCTTTGCCAGCGGGCCCAAGTCGGTGACCCGCGACCAGGTCAAGAAGGCGTTTGATGGACTGTGCGGTTCGAATAGTGGCTCGGGATGTGCCCCACACATGATGTATACGATCCTCAACCAGTTCTCTAGCGCCTGTAATCTCGAACTCCAGACCGGCGTCGAGGCGGTCCGAATGGCCTACGATGTGCTTTACATCCTGACCCCATACCGGGTCGCATTGTGTTCGAAGGACCCGACCACGGGCGATTACTGTCCATCGGTTATCGCTGCCGCTGTCGTCAATGGCACTGCCTCGCCCGCCAGTGGCAAGTCCGCCAACTCTTCGGCATCTGACTTTGGCGCGATGGTCAGCTCGGTCTTTGGGGACAAGCTGGTCACTCAGCTCGGCGGCTCATCCGGCCCACACCCCTCGCTGCACACCCGAGACACGGTCCCACAGAACTCGAGCGGATCCAATCCGAGCCCCGGAACCAGCCAACAACAGGTGTTCAATCCGAACCCAGACACATACACGAACACCAACTTGGCCTTCCTCTTCCTGAGCGCCTATCTGCCCGACGCTGCGCTCTGCAAGCCTTGTACCCAGTCCGTCCTGGCCGCCTACATCGGCTTCGAGCAGGCCACCCCTCACTTCGGCGGCCTCTCCTCCTCCGGCTACCTCTCCGGTCAGCTCAAGCTTTGGCAGGCCGTCAGCGCCCGCTGCGGGGCCCCCTTCATCGAGGCTATCAACCAGGAGGCCGGGATCATGTCCATCCTCACGACCTCCGCCGCCGCCGCTTTCAACCTCCTCCTCAAGAACTCTTCCTCCTTCGCTCTCGCCGCTCTTCTATTCATCTCTATCAAATCCCTCAACCTCTTTTAACATCCTTCCTCACATCGTCACTCAAAATTCATACGAACCCATTGCTGTTTTTTTACGCTTAATCTCACGATCTACATTCCTTTTGTTTTTTGTTCTCACGACTTGTTCTGGGTTCGTGTATATCTTTATCTCCCATCCACCCCTCCCACTCCCTTTGTTATTCCCGAGTCTATCCAATAGATTCTGCTGTTATCCTCCCTCCCTTGTCCACACCCTTTTTGCTCTTTTCTCTTTCTCTTTTTTCTTGTTTGGGTTTTATGACATCCCACCATCGTTCATCTTTTTTTTTTGGTTGTTCTTCTTTCCCGG